TAGACGACCCTGTATGGATGGGTGTTTCACATTTGTTTTGCAGTATACTGAGCTATATGTTGTGCACATGGGAAATGATAGGAAGAAAATAAAAAGTTAACAAGTACAAGGAGTGTAAACTAATAAAATAATCTCTTGGCAATCAATCATCATTTGATCATCAATCATCATTTTAATCAATCCTTTTATCTACACTGAAAGAAAGGAAGGGACATTATAAACAGCACCACCGCAAGTTTATTTTTATTTCCTTTTTATTTTTGAATCTTTTAGACTGGTCACTATTTACATGTATATCCGTCCTCCATTTATTACCACAATTAGCTTTGACTCTCTATGCTTTGCTGGAGTGGGGCCTACAGCCTTACAAGCTTGCTTTCATGTATAGGTCCCATCATATTTCTCTTAGTAAAATCACAAATTCATATTGACCACTTATCTTTGTTACTATTATGTGTTATTGAAAAAAAAAATTGACTTCATTTGAAATATATGTATGTTTATGAGAAATATGAAAATAAATGAAATGAAAAATGAAATGAAATCACTGAATTAAACACCGGGGGGCCGTTTCATGAAACCAACTCCATGACAGTCATATCTTTGTCGGCGACCTACGGAGATGTCATGAAGTGGATAAACCGTTTCACAAAGCCATGACAGACATGATATCGATATATCGCAATACTAGCAGCTCAAGAACATAGTCTTTGTCACAATCCATTTGATTTATCACAAATAACCCAAAACAAGTTTTGGGGCTAAAATTGTTCAAAAAGAAACATATACATATAAACTCTCCTAAAATAAATAACAAATAGTATCTTTGTCAAATGTAGATCATCAAACGATTTGCATATTTCTGTAAAGATTCTTAAGTTGAAGAAAAACCGGAATTTTAGGCAAAATACCTTTTCTCAGCCAGTTTTTATTCTAGAGTCTCCCCGGCCCCCCCACTCCGAGAACGGACGGACCCCATGCATGTTGCCAAAATGTCCTTTTTGTAACAAAAGAAAAAGGTCGACCCGTATTGACTTTACACACCGGACTTTTGCTGAAAAGGGGGGGGGGGGGGTGCTGAAAAAGGCTTGTATACAAAAGAAAAAGGTCGAGCCGTATTGACTTTACACACCGGACTTTTGCTGAAAAGGGGGGGTCGGTTGGAACACGCATATGCGTACCCTAAATAACACTGAGTGGGGGGGCCGGGAGAGTCTCATAAATACTTGTTATATAATTGATTTGATATTGAAAATATTATTTGAAAGAAGTAATTACACTGTAGAGAGGGAATAATAATGCACACAGACCCCAAAGGTATGATGGTATCCTAAGAAAAGACTATGGATCGACTATGGACAACGGTGTGTAACATTCTTATCTCTTTTATTTATATGTTATAGTTTAATGATTTGTGATTTAATGTTTATATAGCTTTTTAACATTTCTGTATAATATGTATTATCACTTCTTTACATTTACATTTCGCATCCCAGAGAACTACATACCGAACTTGTCTATATTTTTCTCAAAATGATAATGAAACTAATCGTACATTTCGCGGCCCATGGAATAGCAACAAACTGACTTGTGATGGCTCTTTACAGCAATTAAAAAGATATGACGGGTTCGGAGCAGTGACAACTCATTGTCCCGGAAGCTGTCGCTCATCTTGGCAAAGATGGCTTCGTGAAACACTTAGCTGACAAGTTGCGTGACAGTGTCGAGATGTCGTTGATCTTGTAGTTATGACGGTTTCGAGAAACGGCCCCCAGTCTTACAAATCACTGCCAAACTCACAAGTCCTCTCTCCTATAAAGTCTCTCCTATCTCATGCCCACAGAGCTCTAAAATAACACCTCTGACACAGTGTAAGTCCAGTCCAGTTCTCCTTCAGTTTTATTCTCTCAGGCTGTACATGTGCTTCATGCAAATTATATTGAAATATAGCAAAATAGGATTTAAGAATATTCATAAGAAAAAGGAGAAGAGAACCATTGATAAGTAAGAAGTGGAAATAAGCAAATGAGAAGAGAACATACCACCTGTTCTAGCTTAAAGAGTTGATATGTGGTTGAGATGAATGGTGGAGATGAATGGATGAAATGAATATGCAAATGATGTGAAATGAATATGTATGGGTAGAAGAGACTAGAGAAACAAATAGTAATTGTGACAAATAAAAGTAGGGAATGAGCCTACTTTTAACTCTTACAGGCCGTACTTCAGTCTATAGAGGCGGTCAGAGGAACCAGATGCAATCTCAGCGGAACAACCATCAATATCAGAGACTGAAGCTTTCGGTCTAGATTGTACTATGTTAATTTTTATAATTATAGCCAAGAAGAAATTTGAAATCGAATTCAAAACAGTTTTACAAATACAAAGCCAAAGTTGAATTAGGATCGACCCAGGACATTGACACTACAATCCATATCCATGAGGTCTATAAACCGTAAACGGTATTGAGAACAGGATAATTAAAAGGGTCAGCTAATAATTCTTCCTGAATTGCTCTATCTTTCCATTTCTAAAAGTTGCCCCCCCCCCCCTCCCGAAAAAACAGATAAATAACACCCAAAAATGTTTATGTATAGGACTAAGGTAACAATCTTACGATCAGTATCAGCATTATAAATTGTGTTATTTCAATTCTTAGTTCTTAATACTTACCAGAACCATTAACCATGAAGAAATATTTATGCTAGATAAATGTGAGTGTGAAGCGGGGATTACATCTAATTTCAATCTCGCTAAAGCTGTCATTTCGAAAGTGTTCAGATTTGGTAGCAGCCTGCGTTAAGAGGTAACTTCTTTGCTGAATCTGACAAGCATAATTGCTCTATCTTTCCCTTTCTAAAAGTTGCCCCCCCCCCCCGAAAAAACAGATAAATAACACCCAAAAATGATTATGTATGGGACTAAGGTAACAATTTTACGATCAGTATCAGCGTTATAAATTGTGTTATTTCAATTCTTAGTTCTTAATACTTACCAGAACCATGAAGAAATATTATGCTAGATAAATGTGAGCGTGAAGCGGGGATTACATCTAATTTCAATCTCGCTAAAGCTGTCATTTCGAAAGTGTTCAGATTTGGTAGCAGCCTGCGTTAAGAGGTAACTTCTTTGCTGAATCTAACAAGCCATCTAAAGTCAGTTTCAAAGTAAGGTGTTGCTGAACAAGCAAACAGGGAGAAAATAAATTTCTCTGATGTGTGAACAGTAGAAAGCTTTCAATTTGAGGATAAATTTATGAATTTCTCTCAATTGAGATTATTTTTATTAACCATCTATTTATTGAAACATATTCATACAGTAAATATAACATGATCAGCATAGTTTTCCATCGATCAAAAGGATATTAAAGAAAATAATAATAATAATTATAATAATAAAAACACATTTTAAATAGAGTTTAAAAAATCAGGAATTCACAGACTCATAATATAATGGTATATTGAAAACATAATGGAAATGAAAGACAGAAAATACGAAAAAAGAAGGAGTAATTAGGAAGGAGAAGAAGCAGAGGAGTAGTAGAAGAAGAAGAACAACAACAAGGAGAAGAAGGAGAAGAAAAAGAACAAGAAGAAAAAGGAAGAATTAGGAAGGAGAAGAAGAAGAAGAAGAAGAAGATGGAGGAGGAGATAGAATTGTTTTTTGTTTTTTGTTTTTTTTGTTGTTGTTGAACATAATTAATCATATTAATGAATGAAGCATTTTCGAGTGAATCGGGGGAGATTGTTCCATACCCGGTTGAACCCGAAAACTTAAGTTTAAACTTTTAAACATTCCAGATTAAGTTCGGGGGAGACAACATTTGAGTATAAGTCACTAAATCATGCTGATCGACAGTACCATTTCAATCGTTTATGTTCATTTACTTTGAGCTAAGGCCCTTTAAACATCTTCTAATAATTGCTAAGAAATAATCCTGTTGTTGTTCAATAGTTAGAATTTTGTCTGTATTAATTTGTCAATACTATTTTTCCTATTATATTAAAGGTACTATGTCCCTTTTGCAGCCAACCTCAAATTCTATAGAACTTTGCAGGAATTATGAATATGTCATGTATGTCCTATTTGTAAAATTTAAACGTTAGCAGTGTCCTTATATTCAAATTATGCAAGGAAACCCGTTGACTTGCTAGACTTCACTGTCAGACACTATTGAGTGACTGACTGGCTTTTTTTTCTTCTTTGGTAATAACATACATGAAAAGAGGTGTAAAGGGTACATGAGCATTTGTCTACATCAATAACCCACTTCTTGTGATGGCCTAGATTAAACTGATTGAATCTTTGCGCAGCATAAAACGTATGACGATTTGGTACAATTGTCTGAAAATCAAGACTATTACTTTTGGGCTCTATAGCCCTAAAGTCGATTTGACAACTAATAGTCATTATTTTCCCACTTGAAGACATTTTCAAGCCCCACCTTTTTTAGGGAAGTTCTAAATAAGTATTATCTTTCAAATGCAGTTGGAATTTAACTTTTTCATTTTATGGCCTGCAAATGGGACATAGTACCTTTAACGTGAAATTTTCTTTTCACACATATTACGTTCATCTCTGACCTTCATCCCATGGCGGCGGGCATCTTGCCATTGAAAATACATTTATATGTATGATTCATTCATATACTGCAGACTAACAACTCAATAAAAGAGAGAGAGAAAGAAAGAAAGAGGGTGGAGCCCGAGAGAGAGAGAGAGAGAGAGAGAGAGAGAGAGAGAGAGAGAGAGAGAATTAATGGTCTTTTTTTTTTTCCCTCTGAGAAGCAAAAAAACTACAAAACCAAAATGTTTCTGTCTTGAGGAGACTTTTTTTATCCAGGCACACCCCAACTATTGTACAGGTCGCACTCCCTTGTTGATGAGAATAAATTAATGGCAAAATACAACAAAATCAAGATGTATGAAATTGATATGGTTCAGTGCTTTAATGACGGTGGTATTGGATGGTTGCTTCAGCTTAGTTCAGTCATTGTCGTTATTGCGCATGCTCTGTTCAATTGCCGTGACAACAAATTTTGTCTTGAACACTCATAACCCAAAGAAAAGGCTAGAATTTTGAGCTTTTGCAAGTTTAACATGTGGAACCAAGGTATGATTTTGTTAATTTGAATTTTAATAATCATAAAAAGCAAAATTTCCTTGTCTATTGAATTATTTCAATGTAGTTTTGAACGTTTTGACATCGCTGATTATTTGGCGTCTGTTCAAGTCTGTGTTGGCTGCTATGCAGTTTGGAATGTTGGAGTTAATATGAACAGTGGAGCTGCAGTGCAGTGATCGCCGCCAATCTCTGTAACTGTAAGTGTGTGTGTCGTCCCGCCGGGGCCCTGGCGTAGCGCGTAGGCACCGAATCGGAGGAGTTGGTACTGACTGACTGCACTAACTTGTTTCTGGTTGTGGTCATGCATGGTGGTTACCCGTACAGTGCTGTATAGTGAAACGTGCCCATTATTCTGTCACTTCATGGGAAACCACTCTTATTTTGAATTGAATATGTACTAGGGTGTCTGATCGCGCACAGGAGCATCACTATCCTGACTGTGTAGTAAAACAGGCAACACTGGCACCAGCACATTAACGCGACACATTTGAAAGCCTGCGGTATGACACTTTCAAATGTCCTACTAATTAATTAAATGGGATATAACCCATCACAAATAAATAAAGAATGGAACTTACAAGTTTCGTTGGTGTAAATTTCCTTGGTTTCCAGACATCTGGCCTACTTGTTTGCTTATAGCCCATCCGCAATTCAGCTAACGTGCGCCATTTTCGGATTTTATGACCTTTGTTTTTAAAAACCGTTCGCGACCGCTTACGTCCGAATATATGCATGTTGATATGGACGCGATCGGTTGTGTACACAGCTCAGCGGTAGGCTATTGCGTACGAGCGTTTTTAGAGTTTGGTATTATATTAAATACATTATACATTTCAGCCCAACTATTAGCCGACAGAGGTGGCGGAGCATTACTATATAATTCCAAAGTATAATATTCAATTTAGCAATTTTGGGGTCTTAATAATAATAATATTAATAATGATACCAATAATAAGCATTTCGAAAGTCCATCTAGAAATTTGTACGGAATAAGAGGCCTAGGTGCTTTAAACCTGCGATAAAGCAATAAATGAAAACGTCTGCGAGATAAGAAAACTACCCGTCAGATGTTGCGCAAGAGCCACGGGTCACGAGTCACGTATGTTTTCACCGGGGCCTAGACAACTCGCCACAAAAACAACCCGCCCCAAGACAGCTCGACACAATACCCTGGACATCTCGCAACAATACCCTGCACAACTTGCTACAGTCGAGTTGTCCAGGGTATTGTGGCGAGATATCCAGGGAGGGTATTGTGTCGAGTTGTTTAGGGGCGAGCTGTCTTTGTGGCGAATTGTAGCGCATGTAGAAGTCAGTGTATGGTGTGCGTAAAGTGCGCAGTTTTGATGTCATCGCAATCGAGGAGGGAATCATGCTGCCGTCTCTGTAGAAGAAGGAGGAAAAAGGGCTTTAAAAGTTAGTTTTGAATTCTTTTTTTCTATTATAAAAATAATTTAATAATCTTAAATACTGTAAAATGTAAGACAAATATAACATAACCTATGTTATGTTGTATTTGTCTTACATTTTATGATCTTAATACTAAAAAAAATCCACCCCGTGCATACCACATACATGCAGTGCTAGAGGTCCATACGCATTAGCATGGACTCTCTATGCTTTGCTGGAGTGATCGCGCACCCGATGTTATGTGCTAAAGTTCTCCCCATAGACTAGAGATTGCACGCATCCCTATGCAGTCTACGTGCATTGCGCGACCATGCAATTCGAGATTCAAACCTTTATCTGTTGTGATCCTGAAGGTGATACTCAATAAATGAGGTGTCGTATGAAAGAGCAGGTGAATTCCAATATTTCCAAAGGGGGTCATCTCGAAATTCTAAAAATATCTTGGTTAAAACAGCGATTTAAACACTGTGTCCTGGCTAACTCTGAGGTTTGTCACTTTTGAGATATGACGCCTCGATGGATAAGTAGTCCCAGTCCTAAGGAATATATCTATGCGCTTATTTTTTCGCTAACCCCCAGGCCCAGGGGTCACAAAGGATTACAGTTTAACAATACCCTTCCCCCTATTTGTTGGATCAGCTAATTAGGAAGGCGTGCGCTCCGCTCAGTCCAAACCATGGTTACATCGCGTAACATCTCCACGTACGAACGAAACCTGAATGAAAGTACGCGGCTAGTCATACTACCTCACAACCGGGAGGTCGTGGGTTCGAGCCCCGGCCGCATCATACCAAAAGACGTTAAAAGATGGGAGTTGTTGCTACCTTGTTTGGCGTTCAACAATAAGGGATAGAGCAACGTCGATCTGGCGCTGCTCAGTGGCATCCGGGCTCACGATTAATTGGGCAAAAAGAATTTCCGTTTCGGTTTAATACAATTTGGAGTGGACTATTAGGCTATTATTATTATTATTATTATTATTATTATTATTACTACTAGTCAATGGCACATATCGCGGAGACAACGTAGCTCAAGCTGCAAGTCGCGCATTCAGCTTAGCAACATGCGTACGATATGCATACGCTTGCATATCGCGCGATACAGTTGTTTGGTGAAATTTAGCAAAACAACATAACTCTGCGTGTACATCTTTTTCAACGATTCTGACCAAATCGATATGAATATCGCAGCGTTTTGGAGGGGCTGTATCTTTCGATAGAAACATCGGTTAGACTTGAAATTTGAAATGTATTATTCTGCTTACTATTTTTTTCAAATATCAAACAAAAATGGTAAAAAAAAGATCCCAAATTGAAAATTGAAAAATCGTTCAGACACCCTATATGTACCTCCTTTATTTGGCAATCCACCCATCAACAGAAAGGGCGCTGCCGCTGGTCAGTTGAGAAGGGGGGCTGGTCCGAGAATAAAGCACAAACGATGATCTCCTTTGTAAACACGTCCGCAAAAATACGGATTGTCCACATTATCGCAGACGTTTTGTATTTCCGAATCGCGTGGTGGTGATGCGAAAAACAGATTACGGAATGATTTTCTTGATGCATTTTACATTGACTTTCATTTGTATGGAGGCTTTCACGTTATGAGCAATAAATCCTCGGGGAAGACGGACAACCCATAAAAGTAGACAGGGAACTAGGGGTATTTTATTATGTGGAATCTGTTTTTTCGTATCGCCAGGGCGCAGTTCGGTTCGGTTCGGGAACCCGAAACCAGCAGAGCGCCGATGGAAACAGAAATTGTCCACAATTTGCCCTCGTTTACATGGATATCTCTGAGTGCCCCTACTGATCAAAAGAAAAGAAAATTGGTCCTCTTAGTTTTACTATTCAGCAGGAGGGGCGCTAGTTCGAGAATGAGGATCGTCCGCATAAATGTAATTCGTCCTAAAAAATGAGGATAGTCCGCATTTTCGCAGACATTTTTTCTTTGGCGCGCTGGCGCTGGCGATGCAAAAAACGGATTCCGCGAAAAAAAATACCCCCAATTCACCGTTTACTTTTATGAGTTGTTCATCTTCCCAAGGATTTTTCTCTCGTAATGTGAAAGTCTCTGTAAAATACCTCTTGCCTGTCGGTAGGGGCATCATTTGCAATCAAACAAACGAATCTGGGTAGATCTCTAATGGATCTAATTACAAATGCTTGTTTATATCTCCATTTGATCCTTTGAGCCATTCGTTCCACCGCGAGTCAATACAATTTATTCATGTGGCAAGTTTAAACTAAGGCTGTACATAAGCGTGTAATGAGGTACTTGAGTACACGCCCAGGCTTACAGGCGGATACTTGAGTACTCGGCGGCCATTTATTAATTAATTTTCTTCTAATTTTTTAATTTATTTTAGACATGGCAGGGAAAAAGAAATTGTTGTAGAATTAATACATAGTACCTAGCCTTTCTATTATGGTGAGCGCCGGCCGGCCAGCACAGTGCCTGGTGGATGAGCATAAATCGGCACAAAAAACAAAAAAACGGCAGAAAGTACGAAAAATCGTACTCGAGTAGATGTCAACAGTACTCGTCGCAGCTTTAGTTTAAATAAGTCAGGAATAGGGAGCACTTGCGGACATCGTTTCAAATTTGTTTCAATTTGATGCTTAGTTTATGCTAATAGCGATAATAGTAATAATAATGAAAAGTGTTTATGAAAGGCATAATAATTTGTAGAGTTCTCTATGCGCTTTACTTTTCTTTTTTTAAACAATAATAATAGTACATACCACCGTACATTGTATTGGAACATCAAATACATGTATAAATAGGAGCAATCATGCGTTAAAGTTGATACTCTAAGACAATCCCAAATACTGAGATAATTACATAAATAGAAAGCTTTTAACCCCCATAATAACACCAAATGGTGTCCACCCGACAAAACAAGTTTAGAATAATGAATTTATTCGACTAAACTCTACCAAAATATCTAAGTCTGAAACCCGGAAGTGCACGTACATGTAGAGTCGGGCCTCTATCCGTGACGTCACGAACGGGAGTCATGGGCTCAGTGAGAGTGAATGGCAGTGATATCCCTACGTAAATGCTATCCTGTCAGAGCTTAGATTTGTTGTTGTTAAGGAGTATATTTGATGGATTTTCTGTTTTCATTTGAATGAAGAATAACGAAGCAACATTTTCCAGTCGCTGATTTCTTTTTATATCCTCATATTCACCTATTTGGTAGAGATTTAAGACGAGTTTACTGCTTAGGAATTAAAGTTAAATCGTGCACTTATGAATAGGCGGATGCATTATATTGTCATCAGATGAACATGAGCAGTTTTGTAAAACGAATAGGTCTAGAACTATGATAGTACTTATCATAGATGTGTGTGACTGCCTCAAAAAAGGATACAGTACCAGTTAAACATTTTTATGTTGTAAAATATCAAACTTGAACGAGATCATGCAAGCGCGCTTCCTCTATAATATTTTGGCGAGTGATGCGGCTCTTGCATGAACGTTCGTGGAGCGAGCAGAATCGGGAGGTAAGACCAAGCCGCTGCTCTAGGCGCTGCTTGCTTGTGATGGAACGTACGTGCGCTAGTTATATGTTTATCGGCAATTGCAAGAGAATGAAAGCGACGTTGCCAGCTAAGAAAAACAACTAACAAAGACTTGCTCCTGACTACCGGTGTCAGAATTGGTAGATGAAGGATGTTCAGGGCCAAGGAAGGCGAAAGACATGGGAAAAAGGAAGAAGAAACCATCGGGAGATCGCTGTAGTGTATGGTAATGAACTGTGCATGGGTAGACAGCTACTGTTCACTCCGTGCCTGGGCCGATTTCAACACCAAAACAAAAATTACATGGTGAAAATATCGACTAATAGCACGTCGTTGGCATGTATATGTCATAATTTTTAAAAGGGGAATTGATATTAATACTATGAAGTACTAGGGGAAGGTAAAGAATTGTACATAGAATTATGATTTATTAGACTTTTCAGCCTTTGAAACAAAAATATGCAGAAAATCGTATCACTCTGCACATGTTTGCTATGGAACATCCGGGTACGTGAATATACTCTCTCCCGGACGTGAGGTCATAAATAGTAGACCAGCGTCGTGACTGATTTTCTATGCAAAGAGAGGCGGATATTTTAGACATTTCAATTGAGGATTTCGAGTAGACAGAATTTTTTTGTGATATACTAAGTAATTGAAAAACTTAAGAATAACATATACTTGCCGTAGGTAACAAATTAAGGGACATTTATTTGTTTAGAGTATCAACTTTAAGTGTAATATGCGCTTGCAGGGAGGTACATGTATGCTAAATTCAGCAAACTCTGTATAATGAACTTGGTACACTAAACTAATTGCTATTATTAGCAAGTATTAGTAAGTATTAAATATGCTTATTTGATTTCCCCCATTTATTTTAAACATGCAATACATCTGTATTTTTTCCTAGTGGTTGATATACATTTCGACCACTAATTTTAATTAAATTGGTATTGTTGTTACTGATTGAAAAATTCCTGGAAAAAAGGAATTGCCATGACAATATTGATTTTCATTGTCCATGTCTTGAAGCCAGTTTGCGACATAATTGCTGTGGTTTGTGGCCTCGAGTACAAACTCAGTTTGGAGTTCACCCATGCATATTAAATGCATGCACATGCTGAACAAATATCCCAGGGTAGTTTGTCATATGCGATCCAGCCACAAACCATGGCGGCGGTATCAGACATCGAGATTGGAAATTGATCGCAACACATGTAATAATAATAATAAAATTCGGTCCTTATATAAAGTCTCTATGCGCTTCCAAAGAGCTTTGGAAATTATTAGCCGTACGATCAGACAGACTTGAGCTTAAAAAATGCAAAAAAATCCTGATCTAAAAATGAAAATTTCTTTGAAGATGGCGTAGTTTTAAAAAAACATATTCTGTCCTGTGTGTCTGGTCCATGTCGTAATATGGCATTGAAAATGTGAGATTCAAAGATTACTTCTATAAAGAGAGCAAGTTTAAAAATACTGTAAATTTATATAAAAGTGACTTGGGAGTAGACAACAGGATGCACCATTTGCGCGTGTATAAAAATGGGCCTGCATGGAACGCAAGTCCGAATTGGGTGTGTGCGATTACTGTTATTCTTTATTTTCTTCATACTCTGTTAGGCCATAGAGTGCTGGGTGAAAGTTTTTGAGGTTAATTTTATTCAAGCTGTGCACAAATTTTTGTTTGACCAGTAGGTGATCGGTTAAAATTGCCATTCATTTGTTTGATAGTTGATGCATAAAATCTTGATTGATACTAGTTTCCTTTTTCTTTATAACTTTCAGATCTGTAACCACTATTTTTCACTAATGGACTAGGCAATTTGAATTCAATATGGCGTCCAGTGTATCATCTGATAATGATGACGACTATGATTCTGATGTCACATGTGGAAGCAGTGACACAGATGATAAGGATTCCTACGACAGTGGTAACTCCTCAAATGATGACGATACAGGCAACGATGAGGAAAGTGAGGAGGAGAGCGATGACGATGATAGAACATCAGGGTAAGCAGAATGTGAATCTTTTAAAATACCATAATAATGAGAAGCAATTGGTGAATTTTTTCCAATATAGCGTGAAGGTATACAGCTGCACTGTGAAAAGTACTTTTTTATTCATGAAATTGGGGTATTGTTGATCAATTTACGGTATTCTTCCAGTAATTTTCCAGAGCATTTTACAGCTATGCGGATCAAAATTGCTCCCAGCTCCTATGTTTCTAATTTGCTGCACAGCTTTTGGGCTCTGTATATGCTGTCTCTCTTATGAATAGTAGCCCTGCACTTGATAATCATGTGAAGTAACTGAATCATTTCCGATTATGGTTTATATTGATCTCATCTGCATTTATATCTAAGCCTGGAGATTTTCTTGTCTTATAGTGCATCTTTCTCTTTTTATCCCTTTTTATAGTATGTACATACATTAATATGTCTGCTCTTAATTTTGTTTGTATATTTGTTAATTAACAGAGAAAAGCTTGAGAATGTTATGTGGTGTGGACCAAAGAAGAACCTTCCTGTCTTGGTGTTTAGACCTGAGTGCAACTTCATCAAGGTCAAGCGACTCTATGCAACAGGAGGTGAGTGAGATGCCAATTGTTATCCTTTTTCTTCATTAAAAAGAACTGTACCTAGGGATGAGTAAGAGTTGTCAGTCACTTTGAAACAACATGCTTGTAAAGATAGGAAGTCGATCTATAAACTTAAATGTTACCGTGCTGAGACAAAATAGTAGATTTGGAATAAAGACAGTTATTGTTGAATTGCTTCTCTGTACACAGGAGAAAGAAGGTAGACTTTGTAAGATGAAAAAAGCAGTGTGATTGAATTTGCCATGTGGTAATAAATCAATGACCTGGACAATAGTATAGTGAAACCTAGGGAGACAAGAAAAGTTGTCTTTATAGGCAGGTGGTCTTTATGTACAGGTTCCTTTAGTACATGTTCAATGAGAAACCATTTTCAAGGAAAACAAGAAATGTGGTCTCAGTAGACAGGTAGTCACTACTCACTAAAGCAGGTTTGACTCTATCTGTAAAGCCTTTGAGACATAGTAGTTCGTTTGTTCGTGTCTCCTTAGATCAAGATAGTTATGTAAAATTCCTTAATTAAATTAAATTAGTAGTGAGCTCTCTACATAATATTAAGATTATTTAAAGCATTTTAAGTGGATCTTTCAAGTAAAAAAATAGATGAAAGGTTCAAGCCCTTTGTACAGTGATCAGATGATTTGAGTGTGTGTTTTATGTAGTTTGCACCATTCTTACAGAGTTTCATTGAAAAATAGATATAGATAAAAAAAGACGGAGACCCCATCCTTTCTATATATAGTTATCATTAAATTTTAATGAAAAAGCAAACATTTTACTTGACCGTTCTTACCTGTAAAACATTTTTCTAAAATTTCACTGGCCCAGGGCAAACGGGTCAGTACTAGTGTCGAGTTTTCGTGAAAATCTTAATTTTCTCTCCAAAATCTGATTTTTTAGGATATTCAGTCTGCTTTTTTTAGTCTGCTTTTTTTAATCAAGAGGTTGGCATCTCTGCATACACTATATGATTCATGTACTTTTGTCTACAATATGTGTAAATAAGATTATAAATATTTTTATAGAAATATAAAGCTCAAGTAATTGATTGTAATTAGCTTCTGTAATCCATAACTCAAATCCTACTTGCAAAAATAGAGAACATTTCAAATAGTTTTTTCTTCTTGAAAACTCTCAGGTAGTAACGTTATGCAATGAAGGCTTTTTGTGTGAACATTTTTAAATTCATTTTTTGACACTTTAAATAAGTGAGAATGGAGAAATATGATAAGTACAGTGCTGCATACACATTTCCCGTGACTACGTACATTTGTATTTGCAAAAAAAATGTACTGAAAAATAATATATCTTCTAACTGAAGTTTAGTTACATAATAGTTGATAAAGATAACTAGTTACACAGGTGCGTATGTTTGTATGCATATTGGATTACAACCAGAAGAAGTATGCTTCTTTAACAACAAAATATGTAGGCTGACGTCCTTGAAGTGCCTTGTTGGTACTAAAAGGCTATGTAATCGATGACCATGTATTGACCAGCTGAGTGTATTGACATTGGAGTGTGGTTCCCTATTCATTACACCTGGCTTCTACCCTTAGACACCATTCATCTTTTGTCCTCCCACTGGGAATACAAAGATCCCATTGTTCACTTCCAGTTTCCAAACTCCTTTGTTCAATTAATCCATGGTCACTTTTCATTAAAGTTTGAAACCTCTTGAAAGCTTCATTAAAAGGGTATCATTTTGTAATTAAGTAGCAGATAAACCACAGGGGATGAAGATGCTTGTTAATATGATGTAGGGTTCTAACATGTGTACTAATACTATGGAAATGTAAAAAGGTCATAAGATTGATTTTCTATTACAAAGCTGAATATATATATATTCTTTTTCAAAAAGAGTTTGATATCATTTACATTTGACGGTTTTAACAATGATCAATGCTTTCAGCCCAGATCTTTAAACTACATGTAACTTAATTGTGAATGAAATATGTACAAACTACAATGTACATCATCTCATAACACAATAATGCAATATTATTTAAAGCATACACTGTACATATAACTTACTCTTGACAATGAACATGTATTTATTTCAAGAATCCAAATTAATATGTATTACATGTAAGTTATGCCAAGTAGAACAAGAATATACATTTTTTAATAGTAAGTTTTGAAATTTAAAGGAATAAGAGAGTCCTTGAGCATTTTCTCTTGCATGAAAATGATCCCTCGCTCACTCAAAAGAAAAAGGGAGTTAGTATTATTTGTTATGATTTCCATTCTTCTGTTTTTCCATCAGAAAAGCACCACCTTGCCTATAAGATCGTCCGCACTGACTGCAGAGTAATCAGGCAGCTTCTACACAAACACGGGTTCCATGAGGTGAGTGTTTACATGTGTTGCTATGGAAACCACAAAGTGCCCTTCCCAGGCTTCAGTCAGTGGCAGTAATCACCCTATTGTATGAATATTGGATGGGATTGGAGATGGTATTAATTTAATGGATAGGAATCGAAATTATATTGTGTATGGTAATGTTAATTGGAACACTGTGCAATGAATATTTCATGGACATAGGTGCAGTCATGTACATGAGCATAGACTTGCTGTACCTGTGTATATAACATACCGTATATATACTTTTTGCTGTCTTTTTGCTGTCTTGTGTATATAACATATATATATATACTTTTTTGTTTTACTTTTGAAAAATACTTTTTCTGCAGACGATTAGCTTTTCTTTTTTTTTTTTACAGTATGCTGCAATTGACATTGTTTTTTTAAATATTTTGTTTTACTACCTGATGTTTGAAGATTGTTATGTATCTCGTATGCACTGTTTTATGAACTGAAGACTTCTCTATTATTAAATTGCCAAATTCCTTCAGTTGAATGGTACATGATACCAAAAGGAGTTTGCTGTGAAATTGGTATCGACTAGAATGTGTTCAGTATTTATGCACTGAATTGATTAATTGTAATAGCAGATAATTGCTTGTAGAAATATTTGGCAAACCCAGAATTGAATCCCGGGTTTAGATTCTTTACATACCGGTACTAATACTTTATCAGTTTTATTAAAGGGAATTTGCAAATGTTAAATAAAGTACTCAGAAGGTTTCCTCACTGACACTGATATTTCATATTTACCTGCTCTACATTGTGATAATTGAATTAAGTTTGTTTAAGCACAGTTATGAACAGCTGCAGAATATGTTCTAGAATGAATAATAAGCCAAATAAAAGTTTTTTTTTAAAGCACTTTTCCATTTGATGTAGATTATACTGTCCTATCTTTTTGTAGCTCTAGTCAAATAGTTATACAACAAATTGCAAGATATAGTTTTTCAGAAGTTTTCTCTGTCAAAAAAAGAAAAAGTGAGAGAAAATTTTGTCTTGAGGTACAAAGAATAAGAGTTAAATCAGGGACAATTGTTTCTTTACTCATTTCATTACTCATTTCATTTAAACATTATTTTGTGTTTATTGTGTCATCATGTTTATTTTTAACTTTCTATGGGCTTATTTATATGCTGTAACTTGTATCTTTTTAAGTCAATCCTAAAAGCTCTGATTTCAAATTGGTTTTGAAAGGCTCTCATGTTTAACCATTCACATACAGAATATTTGCTGACTTCATTTATGAGTAAAAAGACTTTGTTTATGAGACATTTTCAATCAAGTTTAATTCATGTGTCTGAGAGTTATTTGTTTATGTACATGCATATATTTCTTTCTTTTTTTCTTTCTAGGTCCATCCTAATAGCTCTGATTTCAACTTGATGTGGATTGGGTCTCATGTCAAACCATACACTCTGAGAAGCTTTACTGACTTCCAGAAAATCAACCATTTTCCAAGGTAATCTTTTAAAAATATATTTGCATACTCATAATGTACCAGATGGCTACTTAGTTTACTTGAACAAATAAGTTTATAATAATATAAAATGAAGTAACATTCTGTAATAAAACATTACTGTAACAAAAAAATAGAACAGTAATTGTATTGGTTCAGTCTAATTCTTTGTCCAGTTAGTTTTTAATATTACAAATTTGGAGATAATTTTGTTGTTGTCTTTCTTATCCTATTTACATTCTTTTTGTTCAGCTTGAACCCCCATTAACTTTTCTCCCCTTTCTTTTCCTCTTTCTTTAAACAGGTCCTATGAAATCACAAGAAAAGACAGATTGTACAAGAACTTTCAGCGGATGCAACATGCCAAGGTATGTACTTTCAAAGTATTTCATTAGAAAAAAGCTAATTATAGCTTCCTTTAGTCATGAGAAACATAGCTTAGTAGCATTTTTAATTAAAGGTAAATGTTCAAAAGCAAATGAAGTGAAGAAATACTTCTGCTTGATCTTTATATTGAAGTTCAGCCTTTAGTTTTCTTTGGGAGATGAAAGTAGCCAATTTGTTGATGTTGCATTTAGTGTCAATAATAAAATGAAAAGGAAGTGTATGCTTGTGATGAAAATGTCAATATCTTTATGTTGAAGGGAAAAGTTACCTCCTTATCATTTTTGTCTCGCCTGCGTAGCAAAAAGCGAGACATAGCCGCCGCTTTTCCGGTGACGGCGGCGGCGTCAACATCAAAAACTTAACCTATGGTGAAGTTTTTGAATTTTTGATATAATTTTTAAAGTATAAGTTCTTAGTCAATGAAACTTTGACCATAGGGTAATCAAGTATCCCCAATCATGTGAGTAGAATTTCAGATCACAAAGTCAAGGTCAAAGGTCATTTCAGGTCAACAGACTCTGACTATGTTGTAGCATCATCATCAAAAACTTAACCTAAGGTTAAGTTTTTGAATTTTTGATATAATTTTGAAAGTATAAGTTCTTAGTCAATGAAACTTGGACTATAGGGTTATCAAGTCTCCCCAATCATGTGAGTAGAATTTCAGGTCACTAAGTTTAGGTTAAAGGTCATTTAAGGTCAACAAACTTAGACTTTGTTGTGGCATCAACATCAAGATTTTCAAAATACTTCTTCTTCGTTATTTTTCAACTGATTTTGATTCTGATTGTTTCATATAATAGGGCTAGGAGGGGGATTTAAAATTTCTACACAGAATCATGAAATTCATTATCTATGCTAATTTATGCAAATTTATTCGAAATCACAAAAAAAGGCTTCTTCTCCTTCATTTCTCGACCGATTTTGATTTGGTTTGCTTTATATTGTAAAGCTAACTTTGGTACACTAAACTTCTACACAGAATTTCGAAATTGTTCTCCATTAATTAATTATGGTAATTTATGCAAATTTATTCCAAAAATAACAAAAATTGCTTCTTTTCCCTCATTTCTCGACCGATTTTGATTTGGTTTGCCTTATCTGGTAGAGCTTAATTTGGAACACTAAACTTCTACACAGAATTGTGAGATTTTGTTCCATTGATTATTTATGGTACTTTATGCAAGTGAAATGAAATTATGTCCCTTCCAGGGCATCAAATTTTTATTTTTTTGACCACTTCAAAAGTGTACCACATAAAATTTACGATATATTTGTTGTTGCGAGATGCGGATGAGCGCTACGTCATTGACGTTCTGGTTTATCATATTGAATTGCGTTATGCAGGCGAGACCGCCGAGAGCGTTTCCCTTGTTTGTTTAATTTGTGATTAATTTTAAAACTTGTTACCTTTGTTGCTTTTGCAGGGTTCACGTCATTTTGATTTCTTGCCACAGACCTTCTGCTGTCCTTCAGAGTATGATGATTTAGTTGGTAGGTTTATATCATATCCTTTATCAGTCTGTGTGGAATTAATAGTTTGATGATAGTAGTAGTAGTGGTGGTTATTTTACCTGACTGCTAAGAAAGCATAAATGCTTGTTAGTAAGCAACCAGAGGACCAACGGCTTTAGGTCCTCTCCGAGAGACCTGGTAATGAGGATTAATGCCTTACCAAAGGGCACTAGCGCATCACCTTGGTTTCGAACCCGGGTTGCCAGATTACGAGACCACTGCTCTACCAACTGAGCTATCGCGCCTCCTCATATTTTAGAAATATATAAATGAAATGGAATGTTCTGAATATATTTCATTGCTTAAATGACCTATGTCATACTTTAATGTAATGAAGCATTCCAAACCATCTGATTGTGCCTTATTCTTCTATGATTTTTGTCATCCGTTATAAAATATTACTCTCCATTTCCATTCGATCTTTCACTTTTTATCATCGTCCATTTGCCAACCATTAGATCTTTACCATTGTAAACTGGTCTGGATCATGACACTTTGACCTTGCTTTTATCCTTTTAGCTGCACATAACAAGGAGAGGGGTACATGGATCGTTAAACCAGTAGCTTCATCAAGAGGAAGGGGCATCTTCCTTGTCAATAGCGTAAGTTAACTATCCTAATCTCTCAATGACTTACATGAAAAGGTGTGGCATATCATTTAGGCAAAGTTTCACCCCAAAATTTAATGAATAGTCCATTAATAGTCCATACCCATTACAAGCTATACTTATCGGAATTCACGCCTTCTTCCTTGTAATACAGGTTCTTTAATTATATTTATGTTCCTACGTATAAATTGTAATGTTTGAACAGATGTCAAATATGTTGTCAAATTGAATGGAAAAAAATAAATGTTCATTTGAATTGAATTGAATTGAATCCTATGCAAAGTATACATTGATGTTTCATAGAGAGACTTCTCAAGTTATTATCCTTTGTCTTGTGTTTTCTCTAAAAACATGTACACTGTTTTGAAAGTCCATTGTACTGCAGCTCCTATGTAAAACTGTGCTCCAGCACAACATAGCATATACATGCGTATTTTATTTTGATTGTGCATGCATTGCATATTCACGGTGATGATCATCGATATAATGTTCATGAATTTATGATTTAATTTGCTTAATCATGAGATAACAATTGATGGATTCCTTTTCACAATTTCTCTAACAGCCTCAGAATGTGCCATTAGATGCTGCTTATGTTGCTTGTCGATATCTCAACAACCCTCTTCTCATAGATGGTAAGTTCTGTGATTTATAGAGAATTATATAAATTCTATTCTACTTCTTGTATTAAGCTACCACATGAAAATGGAGGAAAAAAATAGATGCATTTCCATAAATCGGATATTGAAGTATCCTTTGAAGTATTATTCTGACTGTTTTATCTGTCATCTGTCTTATTTGATTGTTTTTTTTTTCTTTAAGGAGTGGGGTATATGTATGAAGTATGCAAATATAGGCTTTACTTAATTCATGTAGTTATCTGGCTGATTACATTACTTCATGTCTGTAATAAACAACTGTTACGCAATATTTTTCAAATAGGTTTCAAGTTTGATCTGAGGTTATATGTAGCAGTGACATCATATGATCCTCTTCGTATATACCTCTATGAGGAAGGCTTAACCAGGTAAGATGTTCTTAATTAGATTTAATCAAATCATGTTCCCTATCCATTGACTGTTAAGATAAGAGAAATGTTTTAAACCTACTTCTGTGTATTTTTCTAATATCACAATCAAGAAGTTTTTATTCAAACATAATTGACAGTGAGAGAGTTCTAACGATCTAAAAACTGGAGACCCTCCGAAATATTGACATATGCCAGAACCATTATCAAGGACCTTTTGGTAATGAGATGCGTACAATATACTCACAATTGCTTATTTTTTTAGCACTTGGCCATTTGATGTAGATTTTACTGTCCTAGTTTATAGTGTGGTAAAGTCTGATAACAGGTGATGTTGTGATGTACTTATCGGTAGCTCTCTCAGAGGAAACCTCTCTGAAGTATTCATAAATTATACCCTGGTATGAATTATTCACCTGGAACATGCCGTTGTCATGTAAATTGTCTTTTGTAGGTTCGCTACTGTGCAATACCAACAGAACAACAAGACGATAAAGAACACCTGCATGCACTTGACAAACTACAGTTTGAACAAGAAGAGCAGTGACTATGTCAAGTGAGTATATCGAGGGGTCAGTGACACAAAGACGTAACTCCATTTTGGCCATTTTGAGAAAAAGTGGTTTATGTTTCACTGAGCACTTGAGCCTTAAGGAGTTAAGTCTATGTTTCACTAGCCATTGACTTCAATGGGGTGTTGGGTGGAGTTAAGTCTTTGTGTTTCCTGGAAAGCCCACAGTTTTTCTGAACATTCTGATATCAAATACTAATTTTGGCAAAATATGGAGTTACGTTTTTGTATCACTGAACCCTCAATATGTTGTGGCGCTTATGCTAGTGTAATGAAGAGTAGCAGCAGCAGTAAGAGTGTTTGTGGTTGTTGTGGTGATAATGATAATGCATAATTTGAAAACGGTGATGATTCCCATATATGGTATCCATGGTGATACTAATCTCGATGATGATAATAATTGATGATTTTGGTTACATTATATCTGAAGTAATGGATGTGGTTGTAGTGTAGTAATAGTATCAGTCATTTTAATTATCTTTCTGAATTAAGGATTAATATTGTTATTAGTATTGTTGAAATGGCTTAGTATCACTAGAATAATTGCATTTGTTGGTTATAAAATGAATTGTAAATAACTAAAATTAAGATAATTGGAAGAAATACTGAGTTTTGTATTATTAATGTTCCAGGTATGATGATGAAAACATATAGAACTATAGTGAAAGTCATTATGATAATAAGAATGATTAATCATATTGATAATAAAGAGATTTAAACTAATTAATTAGCCAACAGTAGAGTAGTAGCTGTAGTAGCAATGACAGTAATTTAGGGATGAGCAGAAATATTATATATTTAGTATTCTGGTATAGTAATGATAGAATCAGTGCACTCATATGTTATAAAGTGTTGCAAGAAAAAAAAAACATGATGAAAAGAACATACGGTATGTTTGGTATATTTTAGGTGTGATGATGGAGACATTGAGGACTATGGAAACAAGTGGAGTTTAGGGGCCATGCTTCGGTACCTCAAGAAACAAGGCAAAGATGCAAAACGTAAGTAAGCTGTGTTTTTCAGTAATGGTAGTAAAATATATTGGGAGCTAAATCCTAGAATAGAGTATAAGTACTCTAATCAAAATTTGTAGATGAACACACTTTTTTAAATGTTACCAATCCAGTCTTTTCTTCATGTGTCCTGGTTTAATATTGTATGGTTTTTAACATTTATTTTGAATATACCGTAAATCTCCGTGTATAAGGCGCACCTCTATTTTGGGGAAGAAAAAAAAAATTAACATCGAGGTGCAGTTGAAGGCGCTGATTTGTGCTTGTGAAGTTGGCACAAATACTAGTAACAATGTGGTTTTTAGAAGAATTTGTAAGATCATTAATGTTAATTAAAAACAGTAGAGTACCTGGGATAGAACCTTGTGGTACGCCATGTGAAAGAAGAAAAATTTGAGGAACTATTATTATATACTACATATTGAGATCTATTAGAAAGATTACTTTCAAATCAAGATGACAGACTAGTGGTGAGTTGACACACAGATTACTTTTTTTTGTACCTGTGTATAAGATGCACCCCCGACTTTCAATTTTTTTCGGCGGCAAAAAAGTGCGCCTTATACACAGAGATTTACAGTATTTGTTGTCTTCTTCTCAGTACTACTTTCAAGGATAGAAGAAGCCGTCAACAAAACAATCATCTGTGCCGAGCTTCCTGTTGCTACAGCCTGTAAGATGTTCTTGCCCTACAGGGGAAACTGTTTCGGTGAGAATTCTCCTTTGATCATATTCACATTTTTATTTAACTATAGTGAGGTGTAGAAATATATTTTGTTAACATTGTGTGGATAATGTCTATTGGAAAGTAAAAAATGTTTTTTAAATATTTTTTGTTTTATAAAAAGGAAGTTTATAACTGTTTTATTTTTTCCTTTTCATTTTATAACTATATATGCGAAGACATTTTTTCTAAATTCAGAAGCATCTCCATCAATAATGGCATTTCTGTTTGAAAATTTTCAAAGATCTGCTTTAACATATTTGTTGTCAGTGATTAAGCTATAATATTTTTGCAGTGCAGTGCTAAATGAATGAAAAGATGAGAAATAGATTTGGTTCCAGGGGAAGTATAAAATAATTGTAACAGAAGTACTTTATCTACAAAAAATATTTGTATATATATATATATATATATATATATATACTCATGTTATTGGAAACATATGAATAACAATATGATATTTCTCTCTATCCACAGAGCTGTATGGTTTTGATATCTTAGTAGATGCCAATCTGAAGCCCTGGGTCTTAGAAGTCAATCTTTCTCCATCATTAGCTTGGTAAGCTATCACTTTTGTCTAGTATTACATTGAACCCTGATGACTGGACCGTTCTTCAAGCAAATACTGATATAAGTATCTGATTTTAGAAAATGTTGGTATGAGAACATTGTTAAACGATTATAACTTGAGATTAGAAGATATACCTGTATGCATTATTCAAGCATCTTAAAAGAAGCCGTTGATCCAGGTTGTGAGTAAATGTTTTCAAGCAGGTTTCAATCAGAGTAATTTAGATTGAGTGTTTTGATATTTGATCCTTGTAGAGTTCTTTTTAACTCACAGTTTTCATTAAGTTTGATCTTTTTTTCCATTTCCTTACCCTCTTCAGTGAAGCGCCAATAGACATGAAGATCAAATCAAACATGTGTGGTGACCTGTTCAGTTTAACTGGTAAGTGTGACAGCCTTTGTCTTAACTTTATCATAACATTATATAAAGCTGAAACTACATATAGAGCATTTTGTTTTTGTTGTACTCTATAAAGATGTTTTACATTGTACAAGGTACCCTTGTCATGTGTTTTTTTTTTTTTTTTTTTGGGGGGGGGGGGGTTCTCCTTTCAACCTATACTAGAGACAGTGCCTATTGCCTTGGAAACCTATTTCTCTGCATCTTTCTTTGCTTATGTCTTACGTATGTGAAGAAAGACTCTATATGAATTTCACTTGTCTGCCCTTGCTAAATATTACACTTGTTACTTCAAGTCTTCTTGCATAATCAAATGGATTTGAATATTTTCAGGTGAAAATGAATCATTATATTAAAAGTTCCTGTTAACTGTGTATCTTGACAGGCTTTATTATACAAGATCCGGTTATGAGACGCATGCAGCAGAGTAGAAGAAATCAGGATCTAGCCGCCTCCAGCACTCTCAGGCAACAGGTATGATAGCTCACCTAGAGAGGGGTGTAGGATGAGAAGGGGGGTAGGGGAGGATAGGGGTAGGGGAGGTTGGGGTTGGGCAAGGGCGGGGGCAGGAGAAATACGGCATCTCAACCGTCATTACACTATCCCAAACATCACTTTCCAGTACCTTCCATCTTACAAAATATCATTACATATCAAATCTCAATTGTTAGATATCACTCCCGTCTATTCAATTTCTTATCTGTTTGTCTCTCCTTATTTTCTTGAATGCACATGTTTGCCTAAATTTAGACTAACTTGATTTTCAAATGTAGATAATATTGATTTATAAATTGTTGATTTTCTCTCAGATTTTAATTTTTTTTTATTGTATCTAATGTTCTAAAATCACTAATGATTTAATTTAATTAATGATTGTAATAATTTCATGATTTTTCTCTCCTTACTAAGTAACTGTTTTGAATTGAAATTAATTCCTATTGTTTATTTTCATGCAGTTAATTAATTAAATAATTAAAGCAGTAATTCTTTTGGAACCAGCATGTTGAAATTATATTTTAAGTTTATCAATGTTTTTGTCAGAAAAGTCCTGTCTGTAGCAATTAAGTAGATATTCTGTATTTTTGATCTGCACAAAAAATAATTCCTATCTTTAAATTTTTAACTTTACCTGATCGCAACTTAAACCTCTTGATACTTTTCTTTGTATAGGGTTTTCATCAAAATGTTGATTAGTTGAATTGCAGGAACTTTACCTTCTCAACAACTATGTATGTTGATGAATGCCACATAATACTAGATATTGGAAGGTGAATGAAAAGTTAGAGAAATCAATTTTTCAAAATGATCATTGATTGTGATGATTATTTTTGGATAGTGAAAGAATTTTGAAAAGCAAGGTTGACAGGTTGACAAAGAATATTTCATTGTTTATCTTTGTTCTGTTTCTTAAAGTATTAACCATTAATTCTCTTACATTCATTTCTTCACTTCACTCCTGTTTGCATGATCCATTCATCATTGAATTTGCTGTGTACACACTCATATCCTATACGTAGAAGGAGCGCATTGGCTCTGCCTTCTCGGTGAGTTTTGTTGAAGAGAAGAATTTTACCATTCAGATAATTTGCTTTTTTTTTTTTTCATTGAATTTTATTTGTCTAGCTCTTTTATTCCAATTTAGAACCTCACATCTAACATCTTCCTGCATTTTTCTTACCTTCTCTCTTCTTCCTCTCCTTTCTCACTTTACTTCATTTTCTTTCTTTCTTTTTTGTAAAACCTTTTATCTCACTGCCCCTTTTTTCTTTGTGTTTGAAATCTAAGAGATAGTGCTAGTTCTATGTGATAAAGATGCATTGTTTTTTAGTGTTTTACATCAAATGAAAATTTTCCCTCCTTTATATATTTGTTTATATTGTCGGTCTGCCGATATCAAAAGACTTGTAATTCAGGATTATACTAAGTTATGTTTAATATAGAATCAAACAAATAAGTAACAGTATTTCAAGTTAGTTTAAGCCAAGTTCATAGGGCTGCAAAATTGTTAAATATTCCTTAATCTGTACTGGTATATAGACTGATATACCTTTCAATCATTAGTAGAAAACTAGAACTACTAGAAAAATAATGCTGACTACTCTCATTAAAGGTAATACAAAGTTTTGGTATAGGGTCATGAATTGGGTTCAAATGAACATATTGGAAGCATATGCGATCCTACAATATTTAGTGATCATTGTCGCCGTTGAAATTGAGTCTAAAGTTATGAAATTGTAAATAATAAACTCTTTATGTTGTATAGCTCCCTCTCAAGGTCAAGATATTAATTAAGCTATAAAACAATATTTCTTGACTAAAATCGATCAATTAGCGATTCCCGTTTGGAAATTATGTATCACAACTATATCTTCTGAGATTTCCATGGTCGCAGCTACCACTGTACGGCCGTAGGCGCTATTTGAAATTTATCGAAATTTACCGGGAGCACCGGTAAATTGTTATATTCAATTTTTCTCGAAAGCAAAAGTGTTTTAGAGGCTAAAATTTCTAGTGCTTATAATACATCCACAGGGGCATCCAAATATATCAAAATTGTAAAGAATCACTATCCACCCAATTTCCAAAATTTCCCAAAACTTTGTAATACCTTTAACCAAACATTGCTGTGCATTTTCTTATTGCCATTTGGCAATTATCTGTTTAGTATGAGAAAGATTTTCTTAACTCGTATCCGTTAGCACAGGATTAATACCCTCCTCCCTCTCAGCATCTCTCAATATCTTATGTATACCATTCTAAAGTTTCAAGCACTATTGGACACATTGATAACACTTTTATCTTACATCCCAAAGCGTCAACGACCCAACTCGGCTGGGATGATGGGTAATAAGCTCTCTAGACCAAAGTCTGCTGCAGCATCAGCAGGTCCCAAAGACAGTTCTGGACTGACTCTAGAGGAGCGTAAGATAGTCCTAGAGAGCAAGGAGGAATACGCCAGAAGAGGCGGCTGGATGAGGACATTCCCTTCACCAAATTCCATGGAGAAATATGGGTGAGTCATTCTAAATATATTCAAACCTGCTTTAGTGACCACCTGTCTACAAAGACCACATTTTTTGTTTCCCTTGAAATGGTTTCTCATTGAAACATGTACTAAAGGAACCTGCCCCCAGACAGGGCAAGGCAAAAACTTTGTAAAGCAGCCTGAACCTGCCTACACCTTGGGTGGTCGCTATAGACAGGTTTGACTGTAGTAGTTCCAAATAGAAGTTTTCATCCAGATCATGCATCATGTGGTTAGATCCAGAATGGCATTAGCTTTAGTAATGTAATACAAGATAATACTGGTTTTGCTCTCAGTAGCGATATACAGTTAAACCTGGATATTGAGGCCACCCACAGGAAACAGAGAAGCTAGCCACTGTACTTCTATAACATACAACTTGATCTTGAGGGAGACAAAGTACATGGCCACTATAGAAAGGTGGCCTTTATGGAGAGGTGACCACTGAGATATATTTGACTGTTCATCGATTGTTGTGGTCTAGTTGGTAGAGTGTAACTCTGGTCTGCATGACAAATTTTAGAAAATACAAACAAAATATAAATTTTCAATGTGTCAAAAAGCAGTGGTCTCCCAAAATCTGTTTTTTCTTGGAAGCTGCAAGATCATTTTACTTGCTTGGGACAAATGATGAACAAACATATATGTCAAGAACCTTTAAGAGTATGTTAAAGCCTATGTGACTGTATTTTTAGGGTATTGCATACTTTCATATATATATATATATGATACTGTATGTAGAGCTATGATATGAATATTGATATGTAACCCATAATGAAAGTAATGATAATTTTGTTTATTTACTGATCCATCGGAAATGGAAAATAATGCTATGCAAGTAGTTTACGGTTGTTTTGGGTTTAAGAAACACCCCTCAAATGTTTGATACAGATGGATGCAGTTTCTGACATGACAATGAACAGGACTAAATGCTTTGTATGTTCCTCTTCTTTGTATTCAATTTTTCCTCGCAGTTCGTTAATGGAAAGCAGGAATTCTATGAACCAGTTACTACATTCCAGACTCTTCTCTGACAAGTAAGTTTCATTAACACCATGCTTCCGTGTTGGTAGTGGCCCATATTATCCATTACATATTTAGAGGTATTGGTTAACATCAGCTCCATGCCATGATTATTATTATTTCATCTGATTTAGATTCAGTGTGCTATTATATCTATTTGTTTGCATATATATGTTAATCATATTTCCATCGGGATAGAAGTGTATAAAACAGATTGCTTCTTTACAACTATTTTTGCTGTTATATGCACATCCTAATATATTAAATGCTGGTTCAAATGTCCTGCAATTTGCATATTATTTATCCACTTGCGTTCAAGCACCTGTCTTGTTATTGTGCTGATGCTGAATTGTCTTTGCTTTCCTGTATATCAGGTAAATAGAGAATAAGGCTTGGTGTGATAATTATTATAGATCTTAGCCAATATTTATTCAATCAAGTTGCAAATGTTCTTAAAACTTGCTTCTTCTGCCCCAAATATGTTTGTGTGTTTCCTCTTTATCAATCGCTAATCTTGGGTCATGGGTTCGAGTGTTATAGGAAGGATTGTGCTGTACAATCTTCACATAAGCATTGGACCTAGTGTTAGGGGTTAAATTTAACAACTAATGTCAGAGCAGAATATGAGAGATTGTGTTGAATTCCTGTACAAACTTTATTTTATTCCCAATATATAAAGTCTGACCTGGATTTTAGAATGGTGTGTGTTCACATTAACATATAAAACTAAGACTAGATTTTGACCCAGTACTTATGGTCCAGTGTGAACATTGCCCCCTATGATTGACCTTAGTGGTATCTTCTATTGCGTTCTAGGCATGGTCAAAGGACCTATATTCCACACTCTGCAAGGTAATGCTTTCATATTTCACTTGCATGAAGCAAGCATTGATTCGGAGCATGATTTTTTACATTTTGGGCAGAGTTACTTTTTGGTTTTCATTTTAGAAAGGTGATTTTGCTTTTCCTGTTTTTGATATTTTCTACTTCTCCCAAAATGGTAATGTTTATAAGATTTTGCATGAAAATTATCTTGAATTGATAAAATGATTTCCCTTCCATGCTGATTTCATGTCATTCTCATGCTTGGGCCTATATCTATATCTTATTGTATTTCAAGACGCATCACTACCAAAAAATAACGGTAATTAGGTCAGATTTAGATATATTTAGATTTGTATTAATATGTGGTAATCATAAACATATCTATCTACCAGTAGTTTTTACTTATGTCTATGTGATATGCAATGCATATTAGAATATAAGTGAACTGCAATAATACTTAAGTAATATTGACTGCCTTCTGGGCAATACGACATATATCGCCCGAACCGAAGGTGAGGGTGATATATGACAAGTCGTATTGCCCTGAATTAGGCAGTCAATATTACTATTATTAACCACATCAGACATCTAGAGCAAACAAGAAACTCTTACTATCTTATACTCTTAAATTATGTAGGCTACACAGGGTTTCCTAGCATTAGAAGTTGCAAAAACATTGTCAAACCAGCACTGTTCATCCAGTGTTTGACAGATTTTCGATACACTGCAAACAGTTTGCCTAGGGTGTGATTGTTACGTCACAATGGAGTTCGCGCAAAGTGCGCATTTTCTAATACACGATGCGCGATGTAAATTACAATAGCTGATGCGCGATGTAAATTACAACTGGCACTACATTATTGCGCACTAGTTTAACACGCATTTTGCCATTGACTTTTCAGAGCGGGCTAAAATATTTGTCCATTGACTTACTGTATAACCTATATTGCCCGCCAAATTACACACAAATCCCATTGACTCTTCTGAGCGGGGTAAAATATTTGCGCATTGGTTTTCTATATAACCTATATTGCCCGCCAAATTACACACAAAATCCCATTGACTTTTCTGCGCGGACTAACTTATTGTAATTTTGGTGACTTATCCATCAAAACCTTGAGGGCAATACCATTTAAAAATTGCCCTGCTCAGATGTCTGATACGGTTAATAATATCTATTATCTGTTGCCATCTGTATATATACATGAAGTTCATACCTTTATGTAATGAGCAGTGAGCACATTGAGAACAATCTTTTTAATTATATCTCCTTCAAAGTATGTATTTGATGTATGAAAAATTAAATTATTTTGTTTTTTGATATATGCATGTATTGCTATTGCAAGAGTTCTACTGCAGTGAAAATTGATTAATAGCTTCTGTTTACTTTAATTTCTATGCAGTTTTTAGCTTATTTTGGCTTGGTATTTGCAGGAATGCTATGGTGTGACTGGTTATAAAGAGTTGAATCAATAACTAGTCCAAGTTTGCATTCTCTATCTCTTATATACATAGTTTTGGTTGATATCAATTGTAAAAGAGTTGCGATTAATCATAACTCTTTATAAGTCGGGGCCCTGGTATGCTACAGTCTATAAATTATAATATTAAAGAAAAAGTCCATCCTGATAGTTGGTTTGGTTAAAAACAAGAAGACAAAATGTATATATATATTCTATGATATGAGTGATTATTATAGTGCTCACTAGTTATATTAGCAAAATAGGCATCTATTAGTAGATTCAATCAAGCATTCACATTGTTGCACCATGGCATTTTCACTTTGAGATTTGAATTCATATTAACACCCTTATCATATTTTTTGTTGTTGATAACACATGTTTGCAGTGTTTACTTTGCACTCCCTTCCCAACCTTCTCTCTCTCTCTCTCTCTCTCTCTCTCTCTCTCTCTCTATATATATATATATATATGTCGACCTATCTTTTCATCCTTCCATCCTAGATTCCTCCTCCATATCCTACCTTCATGTTCCTCCATGGTAAATTGCCATTTGGTCTACAACCAGGATTGATTCCCAGTTCGTCTAATTTGATTTTGCAGCATTTTCAACAAATTCCACTTACCGTCCATTAGGTTGGAAATTTACCCTCACATATGTATATATATATATATATAGAAACTTTTCCCTCCGACTAAATGAAATTTAAGACAAAATTGGAGTAGGAAAAATAAGGTGAGACAAATAATAGATTAAACATGAATTTTACTTTGACGGAGTTGTACAATCAAACCTGTCTATAGCGACCACCAAAGGGAAACACAAAAAGTGGCCTTTGTAGACAGGTGGTCTTTGTAGACAGGTTCCTTTAGCACATGATTCAATGAGAAACCATTTTCAAGGGAAACAACAAATGTGGCCTTTGTAGACAGGTGGTCACTAAAGCAGGTTTGAATGTATTAGACGAGCTGGCTAGAATTAATATAGACCAAATTGCAATAAATCTCTGCTCTTCCACTATATATATATTCCTCCCCTTTGTACCTCTACCGTGTGTTCATTTACGCAGTGTGGATTCTAGTAGCACATCTCCCAGATCTAAATCAGCTCACTCGTCCCTGGCTTCGTCCCGAGCCAGGCAGTGCACGTAAGTTCCGATGTCCTAGCTTCGCATCCGCACCCAGAGCTAATGTGCAACTGAAATGCAGCCTTTGAATCTTGTCAGACATATCTGTGTATATGAGTAGTATTGCTACCATTTTATCCTGGCTATAACAATTTCAGTTAGTATTGTGTTTTTTCGGTTTACAGGATCTTCAACAAGATCACCTCAAAAATAGTTAACAGAATATCTTATAGCATTGGAATTCCCAGTTCTTCTTCATTATTATGTTATTATATCAGGGGCTATTTCAATTTGTTCACATCAAAGAGAAAGGATCGTATAATTTTCTATTTTTCTTATAAAATTGGGTGTTTGTTAAGTCAAAATAATTTTTGTGTATATTTGGTTACATATTTCATATACATGTATATGTGGTACATATATACAAAGCATTTCAGTAACATATTAGCTCCTTGTGCAATGTGAGTCCTGTTATCTTTGTTTCTTGTTTTGATGAAATATTTACCTCCAATCTCTTTCAAATATTAATTGTTCAGAGTAATCAATATAATCAGTTTTGGTCAAAGAAGTATTAACTTTGGTTTGAGCTTATGCTTTCAGTTTTAATCTCCCAAATATGCTTGTTTAATACATCTATATATAATAATCTTTTTATTGGTTTCATAAGGGACAGGTATTCTGCATATTAATGTTGGTATACTAACTGCATGATCAGTGTAAGTATAGAAGGTTGAATGTTTTAGAGTAAACATGCCATACATTTTATTATTCTGATCATTCCCCCCCCCCCCCCCCCCCCCCCATTACAAGTTGTATTCTTCAAAATAACTTCACAGAAATCATAATTATATAAACGTACACCACTCACCTTTTCTCTGTAGAAAAGGGTTTTACCTTTTCTTGTATATTAGATATCAGTATTACATCTTTTTATATCACTCTCCCATATCTTTCACATTTATCATTTGTTTCTCTGCACGTCTTATATTTGCTAGAAGTAGCACTTAGTTTTTTTTCTCTCCGAGTCTGTTATGCAGTTCTTGATGTGATTTTAAAATATTTTAGCATGTTTTTTTTATGACAATACATGTTTATAATAATTTCTTCCTTTTCATCTATAGAAAAACACTTTTCATTTGTGATTTGTAAAACTATTATTTACCAGTAAATAATAATTCCTGTCTAATACATGTGTGTTATATTATAAACTGGGGCAATTAAACATTAAATTGTCTGATTGTCACAATAATATAATGGACTGTTCATTTTTTTATACACATATTGCACCAGTTTCAACAGGAATATCTTTTGTTTGAGCAAAAATGTTTTGACATTCAATTAATAGTAATTTTGAAGTGTGATTTATGATATTGCACTTGTTAAAACCAAGTACACTTTTTTTTTAAACTAGTCATATCACCATTTAAAAAAATGAAATACCACATACCGATGCAAACTATCTTCACGTGGAAATAGGCTTCATAGCCTCCAGCTATTCACATCTATATGGTTTTGTTGTCTTGCTCTATTTCAATTTTTCAATAGAGAAAAAAAATGAGTATGGTCTGTAAATCCAGTGTAGGTTCCTCATGTCAGAACAATCCTAATGATGTTTATGTTTCCATGACAACAGGAAGATGTCCCATGGGATGATGCAGGAACTCCAGGAGAGGGAGGTTGAGGAGCACTTAGCTCAGTTACTCAGGAAGCTCAGTACCAAAGACAACTCTGGAGAAAGGCGCAGCCTGCGCACCAAGGTCCGCAACAAGTTTCCTGCCACTAAGAGGATAGGTAGGTTCATGCTGGTGGAAGATGAATGCGTGTCTCATTTGTCCATTCACAGTACATCTGCTATGAGGGATTGAGGAGGATACAGTGATGCTACATTCAGGGAGTTTTACTTTGGCTACATACTCCTTGGCTACATAAAAGACTACTTACTACTAATAATGCCATGAAGTTATGAATTACAAGTCACTGATGATATTTTGTATAGATTTGTTAAAAGTCTGTTTCTTATTTCATTGTCCAACTTGTTACAAAATTGGTTATAATCTATCCTGATGATTTTTTAAATCTGTTTGAATTTTATGAGGAAAGATTGTCCCATGTAGTTATTAACAAATGAATGAGTCAATGCTATTCATATGGTTTATGTATTAATGGTCCTATTTTCTTCTTCACTCTCAGCAGCACCAAACCCCAGGAATGCAGTACCGAGCAAAGCTGAGGTGAAGTCAGAAACGGCGCCATCTAGGGCACCTCTTGCTCAGGGCAAACTGGATTCTCGCCCCCAAACAGGGCAAAGCAAAAACTCTGCAAAGCAGGCCGAACCTGCTGCCCAACAAACTACTTCAACCAATACTGCTGCAGCTACACAACAGCAACAAAAACGACCAACATCATCAAAACAGAACTCTAGTGTATCACAGTCAAACATCAACGGCACGAAGGGCGTAGACAAAGGGGGCGGTGGTGGTGGTGGTGGTGGGGAACCGACAAGTACAACAAGTTCATCTGGTACCTGGGTGCATGGGAAACCCCCAGTGGGACCCAGTCAGGGGTCAGGAGGGGCCAAGACAGGAGGGTCAGAGAGCAATGCTGGAGCCAGGATGGTGCTGGAGATACAGAAACCCAAGGGACCTACCAAAGAGGAGATACGAGAGTTGGTCAATGTTCCTGACATCTTGGACAGGGGTGGTGACCTAAGGTGAGATTTCTTTCTTCTTCTTTTGTGTTGTCCAATTGCATGACTATCATAGTTGTCTTTTGCTCAAAATTGACATATTTTCTTGATGTTCACGATATTTATTGTACTGAGTTCCATTGAGGACTATTGTTTTTGTTTCTAGTGCATGTATATTTCTGTAAAGATACAGTATATTATGATTGTAAGCTTCATGCCTATCAGAATATACAACTATACATTTTCACAGTTCAAGAATACTAGATAATGATAGTGTTTCCATCTTGTGTTTGTCTTGGAAATCAATGTTATCAATTCTATTTGTTCTATTTGGTCTGGTCAGTGTACACATTGCCCATGTATTGCTGGTGGTCTGATTGTGTGCCAATGAGACATGTTATTTGATAATCCTTTATTCTTAATGATGATGATTTCTCTTGAATCTACAGCAAGCTGCAAGCCAGAGATGCCTTTGCAACATACCTGCTGAGAGTTCAACAGAGACTACTCGCTGAGACAAGCAAACCACCGGAGAAACTAGATGAGATAGACCAGCATGATGAACAAATGGTGAGATACTTTAGATGATACACATTGGTAATTATGTTGTTTCTTTCTATGACCAGTCAATTCATGCACACTGTATGGGTATGGTAGTCTTACTAATGATTTGATGGATTTTCTTAATACCATCTTGCCAAAAATCTTTTGTGTAATCTGCAGATCATTTTTCTTTTGTTTCTCTGCTGATTTATCTTTATCTTATCCTGTCTGCATCCTTTCCTTTCTGTCAGTACACTTTCTCACTTTTCCTTGTCTATTGAATTATTTCTCCCCTCCTATTCCTTCCCTCAAACATTATTGTTCTTCACCGACTTCTTCCTTCATATCTGTGTATAAAATATACACTTTTTGCCATGTAACCTGATTTGTGTATGTTTGTTTAATAGGATCTGGTTCTGCGGTTCCTGAAGAGGGCAGCAAGCAATCTTCAACAGCAGTTCAAAGTGATAGTTCCGAGTCGGAAGCTTCCCATCCACGACAGAAGGAGAATCCTTGCCAAGCAACTGGTTGACTTTGTCCAGATATATAGCAAGGTGGGTATAATTTATAATCTTGTAATCCAATAAACGATAAGCCAAACATATATCAGGCTAGAGTCTATGAAAGTGTGTTTTGTACCAAAATCAAATTAGATGCCTCCTGCTGTGGTCACATGTGCGTGTCTGCACCTGCATTCCGGTGGTAGGCTAACTTTTGTGATTCGCACATATTTCTAATGATCCCTCATAGGTGCCTTGGGTGCCTTGCACCCTCCTCAAAAAGTACTTTCCAGTTACGTGCAAGAAACCTTGACGTGAAATTACACCCCCTCCCCCTGCAACTGTCATGCAATGTGTTAAGGCTATGTATCACTCATACCTGCCAATCCTTACAAATAATCCAGAATATTCTGATTTTCAACAAAAAAAATGTTTTACATCGCTTGAGCCAAATTAAGCTTCTTTTATCATGTGCCGTAATGTGAGAGTTCACGTATTGCGCGCATTGAATGGCTGCATGATTGAGCAGCGAATTTGTATTCGCTTTTGTGTACAGATTTACCGCGTATTGCCAGTTATATGCTGCTGCATTTGCAAATGCCTGTTAAGGGTACAGATTACTTAATTTCGAAGGCATACCATGTTAAAAATTCCTAATTCTTATTTTCAAATGTTGGCAGGTATGATAACTGTGCACACATCTGAGGCTCTGTGATAAGAAACTATGTGAAGGTTCTAATGTAGTTAACAAAGTAATCAAATTCCCCTTTGTTATGTTATCTCTAATACCTGTAGGAGACAGAGGAGATGGAGAACATGAAACCCAAGAAGATAGTCAAACCTCACAATCATCATCAGTTTGAAGAGGATGAGGAGAGCATTGAAGACAACAGGTTCACTCATTTTGTTGGAGTCGCCAAGTGAGTACTAACAAACTGAAGATTTGATACAAGTACACTTTCTGTTTAATACAGACTAACCATATACCACTCTAGCAGTAACATTCATATGAATATTAACCAATAGAAGATTTCATAACCAAATTTAGTGATTATTATATAAATGGATTTCATATTAGTAAATATAAATGGTATTGCCTTTGACTGGATGTAGTAGTTATTTCAAAGCAGCTGAGGACTTGAGAGCTATTTGCACATTCATTTTATTTGACTTACCTGACTTTAAAATAAAAAAATGCCTGATATTAGTTAGTAATAGGCAGTGTTTGGCAATAGTTGGTAAGTCGAATGTTAACTGATGTATCCTGAATTTTATGATCCAATCAGAAAAATTTGTCAGTTTCTAGCCAGAAGTGAGTTAATATGTCAGCTCTAAAACATCCTTTCAACTGGGCACAATTCATGATCTGAGGCATTGAAGCATTTAATGATGATTCTGTCTGCTTTGTTTTGAAAGTCAAACATTGGAGTGTGTTTTCTATGTCTTTTTTTTATAAATCATTTAACATGTTTTGTTTTTTAAACACTGACCCATATCCTGTCATTTGGAGCAAAGTGCATTTCCAAATGAATCAGCAGCAGGTTGCTCTAAAGCCCAATTGATTTGACATGGATAACTCTTGTCTATCACAAAATGAATATGGCCTCGTTCAGGGCCCTGTTTCACAAAGCCTTTTTTCAATGACAAATGACAAAAATCAGTGACAAATCTGCTAATAACCAATCAGAAGCAAGGATTTCACTAGCTTATAACCCAAACTGTCACTTGTCACTGATGACAAGTTTTGTGAAACACCCGCCAGATGTATGACTGACACTATTGTATATATTCCATTGATCTCAGTGAGAACGAGCTAGAGGAGCTACTCACCACGTACACCAAACAGAACAAATCTGCCAGCATCTTCCTAGGGACCAGTACGAACAACCCCAAATCGGTCTCGGAGATGATGGCTCAACCTACCTCGGTCAACAGCACCAACCAGCAACATCATCATCAACACCACCACAACAACCATCACCACCATAAGCAACAGTTGCAGCAACATCAGCTTAAACATGGGACCAATGGGGGACCGACACTGTTGCATCGGCGATCAAGTTCGACTGAGAACCTGCATTCTAGCAATAAGGGTGGCGGAGCTGCCGGAGATATAGCCAAAGATATAAGTAAGTCCTACTATTATGCTTCACATTACTGTATCTTATAAAAACATATATGAGATAAATGAGTACAACTAGGCGCCATGTTTTTCTCTTCCCAATTTGTTATTGTTGCTTTTGTCTTACTTCAAAATTGCCTAATTTGAATGTGGTAATTTTAAAAGCAATTAATCATTCATGTCTGTAATGACACTGGAATACTTGTCTTTTCTGAACTTAGTTTGGTGGCTATGGTGAAATGCTTGGTGTCAGGTGCTTTGCTATTATTAGTGCATGCATACTTCAGGGCAAATGTATTGACATGTTTCAACTGTACTTTTCTTTGTCTTATTTTTTCAAATGTTGTATGAATGATATTAAAAACTTAATAATTCCAGTCAGATTAAATTCTGCATGTTTCTCAGCAAATTAAACATCTTAGCATATTAATGACTAGTATCCAAGTGTTTTACAAGGATATGCACTTTAATTTGAAGAAATATTGCATACGATATATATTCTCATACTTGTAATGCACATACAAAATGAAAACAGAATTACGTATTCTTCGTAAGTGAAATGGAAATTCAAATAAATATATATGCAGTCAAGCAGTAAACTGGAAATGTTTTCAAGATTCTCACATGAACAGCAGTGGGAAAGTTACAATGAATCATACACTTGGGCTAGTGGTTCTAAGTCTATCGTTGCATGCATGTATTCTAGATTCCAACTCAGTGGCAGCAAAGCATGGTGTCCACTCGACCAAAGCACTCCAGCACTACTATGCCGCAGCAGGTCAGCTTGCCATTTTTGTCTGTACCCCATCATGCACTCGGTTTGCTTGTCATGGTTATAAAGATTTCATGTCATGCACAACATATTGTATTGGATTCAGGGTGCTACTAAATCATGTTCATCATAAATTTACAAATTCACGGGGGATGCATTGAAGATCGTTCATGTTCAGCTAATTTCTCATACCTCTTCAAAGATACTGGCATATATTGTAGTACAGTCCAACCTGCTTTAGTGACCACCTGTACAGAAAGACCACAATTTTTGTATCCCTTGAATATGGTTTCGTGTTGAAACCTGTACTAAAGGAACCTGTACATAAAGACCAGATTTCATGTGTCCCTTGAACAGTTTTTACATACAAGTTTCAATGTATAAATTAGGTTGCATCATAGTTTTCTAGCCCAAAATGAATGTATCTGACAAGCTCAGAACAAGTTCACTGCTTGGTCATAGCTGAGCTGGGCCCCATTGCATAAAACTTACCATTGATGGTAACTACCATGGTAACAGGGCTCAACAGCCATTCAAAATCAAGGATTCAATTCAATTCAATTCAAATTTATTTCCACAATCTGATAAAAATACAAAACAATCAAAACACAAACAGAATACAACATAAATATAACATAACAGATAATTTAGGGATCGACAATAGGCCTACAGACCTTTCTATGATCAATCCCTTAAGTAGATACATGACAGTCAAATCATAATTACCATTGATGGCAAAGTTACCATCAATGGTAAGTTTTGTGCAACAGTACCCTGTTTTTATAGAACACACAGAACTCACCAACATGAGTATTCCAATGACAACATCATCAGTCACCCTCATGTGGAATAAGCTTTGTCTGTGTGCATCCCCCACAATCATTTCATTAAAACTGGCTGGATCTCTTTGTCATTTCAATACTTTGATCAGACAGCAATGTAATCAAACCGAAATCTAAAGAAATATTACTTTGCTTGCCCAAGTACGCAAGTGACATTCTAACAGCTGGTTATGTAAAAATGCATTACATTTTTAAGGACAGCTTGGATTTGGTTTCATTTCACCCAGGATCTCAATCACTTTGATCCAATTTCTTCATCACATGGAAGAGGTTATACTAGTTCTAATGGGCTCTTTTCATTCCACTATTCTTTGGTGTTACAGATGATGGTTAAGTGTAGTCAGTGTGATTCATAGCTTTAAGAAATAGGATAATTATAATTTTCTTGATGTTTCGCCCCCATTTTCCCCCATTTTCAGTGTAATTACGGTTTCGTAATAACTTTCATACATACTGCGCACATATTAGACAAACATTTTGCATTAACTTAGGTCTGTTAACCAAATTTGTTTTCAGTCTCAAGACAGTCTCTTCTATTTTACCATAAACTTTTGTGTGAGACATAAGATGGTATAATGAAAGTAAGACCTTTTCCTGCCCACAGAATAAGGAAAGTGACTTCAGGTACAATGAAGAAATTGATAGTAAACAGAGTAAATGGACCCTAGTTTTTATATACCATAATAATTCATAGCAATTCATAAGTGTATGTCTGATGCTTCTCATTTGGGATTGCTAAACAGGGTTTATTCCTGTGAGTGCTTCATTGTGTTTCCTTGCTGTTTGTTCTGTCATACTGCTGTGTTTATATTAAGCATATACTTTGTTTGTATAATATATTCACATACATTCACTTACCTATTTAGTGATGTACATGTATTTATATATATAGTTTTTCCCTTCAAATATGATGGTCCAACCCTGCTGTGATCATATATAGTGCATATCTAGATGTTCATATAACATTGCTTGCATTTTTATTAAAATCTGTGTGTCTGACTCTGTCTCTCCTCCCTCCCTCCCTCCCTCCTATGTATGCTCTATCATTATCTATATACAGAAATATTTGCATTGCACTTTACATAACAAATATTTCAGTTATCTAACTGCAAATAGTTTAAATAACATTTTTGTACATTAATTACAAATTAATATTATTATTTAAGATACAACTTCATGTTGATATTGATAATGTATATCACATGTATGTGAGTTCTGTGAGTGTTTTGTTGTTGATGGTGGTTTTGGATTAGCAATAATTGCCTTTTTTATCTGTTTTGTGATTCTCCATTCACGAATCTGTGTATTACCCTCACAAGAACATTTGTCGAATGAGCATATGAGTGCAATGTTCAGATGCAGGTATGTGTCTTTCCTAGGAATTGTTTTGCAAATGCTGTTACGCTGATGAAATGAGTGGAAATAGTTGCACGCGTCTATTACTACACATAGTCATTGCTCTATATGCAGTAATTATTTGATTTATTTTTCACATTTTAAGTCATCATAAGCCTATCCGATTGTGTATTGTTCATTCTTATGATAGCATTAATAATGTAGCTATCTCTTGATAAGATGAATGGCGAACAGGTTATTAAAAATTATTCTCCTGAGCAGGAATTTAAGTTGTCCACATTTCTATTTATGATACAATGTAATTGTGATGAAGGTCACAATGCTTTGTAAATTGTTATGTACTGCAATTAGCTTATTTGGATTGCTCTGGCCGAGGGGGTATTAAGAATCCTGGTCGAGACAGTTATATTTATGGTCAAGGCAAGCATGTGATATTGAGAACTAGAGGAGAAAGAAAAATGGTTGATTTAGGTTTCAGAAACCTAAAATAAATAGAAACCATGAAAACTATAAAGAGAAATGCATTCTTCATCTGAAAGAAGGCTTAGATGGGATAATGATTTATATTTCTTTATTGCCAAACAGCTGGTTGAGATTGAATCTATGTACTTGCTTTGTCTGCTTTCTCAAATCCCTGGTTAACCATAATCACCATTCTCCATAAATCAGTTTGAAGAATGCTGGAGATGGAGAGAGGTAGGAAAGGAAGGGTGCAAAAGAGACAGAAAGGGGCGGGTATTTCTTGAATACTAATGGCATACAAACCAATTTTATTGTATGGAAGCTAATCAGTCTTTCTTGTACTCTTATTTCTGTGTTTGGAGTACAATTTTCAGTCAGTTATGTCATACAAATACAATGTCAACAGTCATGTATGTAGGCTTTCTTTCAGTGGTAGTGCGAAGCCTGCCCTCTGTAGGTTTGCCCTTTATTTCTATTGGTAGCAGAGATGCCAACCCTCCCGATTTTATCGGGAGGCTCCCGATAATTCACCCCAACTCCCGACCTTACGATCACCATCCTTATCCTCCCGATTTATTAAAAAAAAAAAAAAAAAAAAAAATGATTTTTTTTTTTTTTTTTTTTTTTTTTTTTTTTTTTTATTATGATTTTTTTTGGAGGGCGCTTATCAGTATATATATCTGTGAATTGAAAGAGAAATATCATCTGCTAACTTAAGCATGTAATAATTCCACTATGTTAAAAGACAAATTAAGAGTAGCGAAAGATTGTTTCAGCATATGGATCGCCGTAACCAATGCGTGGATATTGCCACAGAATCCAAATGGCGGAAAATCAGCAAAATAAGACCAGGAAATGGTCTCGGAAGTATAAGACCGAATACAGTATCAAGTACCTGTGTAATCGGAAGTCTGAAAGTAATTCATCATGCATTTTGTACAATTTTTATGTTATTTAAAAAAAAAGGGGGAATTATTTAACTAAATACACATGTAAAATGCTCCAAAATAAGGCTCAGATTGCACCAGAGAGCATCTAGAACCCCAGAGCTTCCAGGGCCCTAAGGCGGGCCCTGGACCCCGGCCGCATGTGTCGGGCGCTACGCGCTCGAGATGTGCGCTACGCGCACATTAATTGGTGTCGATTACAAATCCTCCCTATTTCTGATTTCCAAAAGTTGGCATCTCTGTGGTAGTAGTACAATTTTCATTAGAATTCCAATTTGTCATTAGCCATTAATTTCTTATTTAGTACATGTTTTCAAAATTAGGTCTAAAGTCTGCCCTGTGTGTTCTGTATGTGGACATACTGTATTTTCCATTCATCAACAGAAACTAGCCTAAATAGTATCCCACAGACATTAATAGGTCACACTGCCCACACCTTGAAGGTTAGAAGTGATGGTTTTATTGCAAAAAGAAGCATAGTTGAAAATATTTTAATTCCCACTGAGCCAAGTTTAAAATATCTGAAGAAGGAAGGGAAAAAAGGAGATGAGGAAAGAGAGCTCATGTCTATTTCCAAGTGTGAAGAACATTGGCCTTCAGACATAAGAAACGGGTAAACAACATTCCTAATGAGTTCCTACTAACATCTGCCCCCTCTGTACATTTTCTAAATGTCAAAGTGAATTTATAGCTTATAAATGTCCATGCTTGAGATATGGTATGATATGGTATGGGTAGGGAGAAGAATGAATTGTGGACATATGCTAGGACAGCGGTGAAATGAAATAAAGCCCTTTGTATTATAAAGGAGAATGTGACTTGGTATGTGGAGGTTGTGCCATAGACATTCCTGAAAGTTCATGGATACTACTTCATACACTTCCTTTGCAGTTAAATATAGTAATAGTAAGATGGAGACAGTCTTGACAAGTGTTCTGGATTTTTATATACTATTTTAAGCTCAAGAGGAAGTCCTGAGAAAGTTATTTGAGTGGAAGCAAAACAAAAGGAGAGTTTTTCTTGTATATCATCTCAAGATGTTCAAATTGCCAAGTGGAGATTCCCTGCCATATCTCTTGTGATCTTGACTCCCAAGTTCCAAAAAAATGAGACTTTCTTAATGTTGTAAAGATTTTCTCAAACCTTATATTTATTTATTCTACCTCCATTATGACCAAGAAATGTGTAATATGAAGGTTCAATTCTCCTTTAATTCTTTTTGTTTTAAATTCCTTTCTTAGGATTTGATTTAATAAACATTTGATATAACATGTGTAACTTTTTCAGAAGAAAAGCATATATCAGATGCATTGCTACAAAAAGTTCAGCGGCTTTCTGTAGTTCTTAGTTTATGAAGTACCTGACTACTTTAATTTCAGATTGTTTGCAGATGATTCCAGTGCATTTTAAGTTCTTTTTCTTAGAAACTAGAAATCATTCCAAACGATCAGTGCTACTGTCCTTTTTTACTGTCTTAAAGTACATTTAGTAATCTAGTTTGAAGGTGATTTGTTTGTAAGAAGACATCTCGAATATATGAAAATCAACTTGGTAATATGGTGGCCACCTGTTCAGCGACTTGTGCCCGTGTGTTCATGGTGAGATTTGAACTTGTAAACCTTGCTTTAAAGGTAAAGACCAGTTATGGTCATGTGATTGCATTGTGAAAGAAACGTTGTGGAATCGATCAGAAAAGGTTGATCATCTAGCATCTAGCATCTGCAAGGTTTTGGAATCATCAAAATGATAAGAAATTTGGCCCATTCTTCGTAAAGTTACAAGCACTATACACAGAAAGATGTATATGGGACTACCCTATATCTCTCACAGACCATGAGAGAAACAAATTTACCAAATATATGAATTAGTAGGCGGTTTCCCGGCAAATTTTTTATCATCATGTATTAGTCAAAACATATTCTTTCACACGATTGGTAATGAGAGCTTCCATTTCATTTTTTGAAATTGGGGCGTTTCCAATACTGGTCTTTACCTTTAAACCCCAAGGCAGTTGATAAAACAATCAATCCACATCTCCCGAGTCGAAGCAAAGAACTGTGAACAGAATCATGAAATTGGGATCAAATTTGTGTAGTTTCAGAATCATCAGTTGTGAGCTCGGGAGTTCAATCACTTGGGTGTCTTGTATCTTTTATGGCCCAAGTAGGAAATGTTTTGTAGCAAAGTAAAGTGTTTCCCTGAAAAAATATTGAATTGCATGAAGAGAAATTGGATTACTACTTGTGAAAACATGATTGTGTGGTGGCTGTTGAAATATCAAACTCTATTTGACAAAGTCTACAGCCCATTTGCTAAAGATTAACAACAAAAAATGATTGATATTAAATTGCAGAGATGTAGTCATATTACATTGGTTTGTTTTTAAGGATACGCATTGAGATTATAGGTATCAAAATCTTCACTTGCTTCTAAAATGCCGACCATCTTCTGAAACCTATATTTTAGATGATAGACAGATTTATTCATATTGCAAAACCTTTGTAACTTTTCATAAGTAGTGTGAATGTTCTGTGAAATTAAAAAAAGAGTTTGGTTCATACTGTGGTGACTTTGAAACAGATGCATTAATACGTTCTAAGGCAAATGAAGAATATTTGTTCTTGTTTTCTTAGCAGATTATAAATAGAATGGCAAAAAAACATTGAAAATATAACCTATTTATGTTCTCCCCAGACTAAACGAAAGCTAGGAAATTGATGTAGAAGCTGACATTACAATTATAACCCTATTATCCAGTCAACATCCGCCATAAAGACGTATGTTGTTCTCCCACCCACATGTTTCCAACTACAGCCTTCTGTATTCATGGCTAAGTGATTCAATAGCAATTGAAACTAATTAGTGGCATAGAAACGGGCCCACCTGCTCTGAGCGGTAAAAGTATCGCTTAGGATGGGAATCAATGAATAGTTGTTGAAAGTTATTTGTGGAAGGCAGGATATATACCACATACTGTTTGCTTTGATCCATGAACCTTTTCCAAATCCACCTACATCTTTATTGCTAAGTGTTTATTGAAATGAACATGTTTGTTTCTCTTAACAATCCATTTTGTTGATACCTGTGGGTTGAATGATGGTGGGTAATGACTCTTTGCTTGTCACATAATTTGTTACAGTAAACAGGTAGTAAACAATTGACTCATATTTTATTCAAGAGCGCTGCAAAAACAATAACAAAATGGTACCAAATCATCATCGGTTAACATTAGTTTTTCCCATGGGTAAAAATGTAAATGCAGATGTGAAAGAAAACAATGTTTGTTGAAGCTCTTTTTGGATTTGCTTAGTGGTTATTATATTCAATTTTCTTTACTAAAGTTCATTGTTAGTTTCACAGAATTCTTTTAGACCTTTCCACAGTCTGATTCCTCCCCCCCCCCCCTCCCCCTCTCTCTCTCCCTCCCTCCTCTCTCTCTCTCTCTCTCTCTCTCTCTCTCTCTCTCTCTCTCTCTCTCTCTCTCTCTCCACTCCCTTTTTTTATTTCATGGAATACATAAATATGTCCAGTTATACAAAAAATAGAAAGTTTTCAGCTTGCAAAGGAAAGATACAGAAAACTCCTTTGTGGATACCAAATCTGAAATAATAGTATGACATATTCAGAGGAAGAGCAAGTGAACTGGTAGTTAGACTAAGTTTTATTAACGATTAGATCCTATTTTAGATTGTGTATTGGTTATGAGTTTTCCTTGGCATGTTTATGGACCTGCCAATGTCCACTAGACACATTCCACCCACGTATTCACCTTCCCAAGCCATAAATAGTCTGTCATCATTTCATTAATTGCTCCAAAAATGAAATTGAGATTATTATGCTGCGACCGAAACCACTGATAAACATTTGAGATTCGCCAGCAGGTTTCCAAGGCTGATGGTCCATTCATAAAAAGCCGCTTGTCCGTCCGTGAAGCTATACAGTCTTCCAAGCATTCACCACCAGTCAATTGAACCAAGCAGGCGTATCCATGGTCTCCCCCGCCCTTCTACTCTAGATAGTAATAGAGAGAGATTCTCACTGATGGAATTCTATAGTCCTCTAAAAAAGAAAATGATTATGTCATGTATGACTCATCACTCAAATCTGTCACTCTTTTATGTACCTGTATGATATCATACGACTTTACCATATATCTTTGTCATATATGTCACTTGCAGGCTACTACAATGAAATATATATTGGTTAGCAATTGAGATTTAAACTTCATGCATGCTGTTCATTAAAGTTTGCAAGATTTTGTCATTGAGAAATATGTCAACCTTGAAATAAAGGCATTGTCATTTTGCGGAATGTGTATCTAGCAATAGTGATCAAATTAAAGGCTGGGAATGATTTATGCTGCTTTTTGGAAAATTTGTAATATTCATATAATATTGTCAGAAAGTTTTGTCAAGACCAAAAACGAAGAGGGGGTGAACAAGGGTAAAATCTATGTATTTAGCTTAAGATCCTTTTCCATATTGCTGTTTACTGGCAAGTTCCAATCATGAAAAGGCTTTGCACAAGACTGTAGACATCATTTCCCTGAACAAGGCAATGATGGCAGTGAGAACAACTCATTATCAGATACCCACTCATGCACGATACAACTTCATATCCAGCATTGAGTCATCCCATCATTACATCTGTCTTTCTCTTCTCATTAAATCGCTTCATCTCACAGGTGCCAGCAATACTGCTACCACCGGCGACGGACACTACCATCACCACCACCACCAGCCCCACCAACACCCCATGACGTCATCCCCATCAACCCTATCACTCCCCAAACGCCCCCACTCATCCACGCCCAACGCTGCCGAGGCTCGCCACGCATCATCGGCAGACGATGCCGTGCAGGTCTACAGCGCCAGGTTTAATCGGCAGCGACCGTACTCTGCTAAAGCTGGATTTGATTCAGGTATTCATTTCATTTTCATGTCCTTTCATATTTATACTCAATTAAAAGGAACAAAATTGACGTAATCAAATGTGAGCTCATTTTAAATGGATTAGGGACTGTGGACATGTTAATAACATTAGTTACTTGCTTGAATGGTATGGCTTATGGTCACAAAATAAAGGTAATGTAATGAAAACAAAATAAAATTATTTATGTCAGTAGTAAGAGAAAACAAGGGATTAAGTATAATTTATATTTTGATCCAGGGTCTGCCCATTTATAGCTGCCAGCTACACAGAGGTATCACTTGTTAAAATTAGGGATTAAAGACCGAAATTTCAATCCACATATAGAATATAGATTAATTTGATAAAGTGGCTCTAACAAAGCATAAAGGTTGTATTTTCATTTATTAAATAAATAGTTCTGCTGATTACACTACCGTCTTATATTTTGTTTTGAAAAAAATACATGTTAAAGCTGTTCGACATCAAATCAAATTATCCAGTTAAAAATAATCAAGTGACCTAGATGATCTTAACCTCAAAATCTAGTTCGAGGCATTTGTGACAAGCAACCTTGTATAGCTGATGACTACTCGTGAATTAGACCCATACCATGCCCCCCTCTGAGCAGCATGTAATGCATGAGCACCCCACCCTAACTTTGACATTTCAGGGGATGGTCGATCGTCTGGGAGACCTAACTCTGCTGTCGTCTACAGAGATTCATCAGGAGGACAAATAGGTATTTTATACTTCTTTCTGGTCTAGCTCTGTCCCTTTCTCTTTTTGCATCTCTTTATCTGTCTGTGTCTGTCTCTGTGTCTGTCTCACTCTGTCTCTGTGTGTCTCTCTGTCCTCTCTCTCTCTCTCTCTCTCTCTCTCTCACTCTCTCACTATCAACATCACTCACTCTGTTTCTATCTCTTTGTCTCTCTGTCCTCTGTCCTCTTTGTTACTTTGACCCTTTCAATATCTCTCTCTCTCCTTGTCATTATATGATTTGATTATGTTGTCTTCAATTAATTAAACTGGATGCTACCTTTTTATTGAATGAACTACAAGTAATGTTTTTTGCAAGCTTACTTCTGAAAAGAATATTTTGTACCCTTAATTTGAAGGAACTAGGGTTATGTTAAATGACAAGCCTCAAATTTGACGAGTGGTAATTGTTAATTTATCTATTATCTATTATGAATGGCAAGTTTTGTATACACATATACATATAATCAGCTTGCAAGTCGAAGAAAGTGAAGAAAGAGTGAGAGAGTGGTGAATGTGACATTGAGGTAAACTGGTTTGTAATACTAGTGACAAATTTGTGAAGTACTTCCTAAGTGAGTGATTCCATTAAAGTGTTTGTTGAAAATATTATATATGTGCTGTATCCGAATTAAAATTTAGTTTATATTTCAATGTAATTTAAGTTTTGAAAACATGAAGACATTTTATAAAGTTGTGCATAATATATTTCTAAGAAATATACTTTGCAAAAAACTACTCAATCAATGTCGCGTACATAACTATCAGGAATCACTGCAATTATTATGTTATGTATTATCCAATTTGTATCTTTTAATGCAGACATTGACTGTGGAAGTATGTATGAATGTATTCCCTATCTACATGTACCCATACACAATTTCTTGTTTTGAATGTGTTCATGCAACGGTGATAGGCAAACAAAAATTTGTAGGTGTAGTTGCAGCAAAAAGCTCTGCTTATTTTCCATGAAAGAATGATATTGCTCTCTATGTGTTGGAATAAATGGGTTTTACACAGTATGGGTGTCACCAGATTTTTTCATGCTTGAAATGAAATTGCACAAACGTTTCATAAATCTTACTTTCACCCATAGAACTGACATTTCTCCCCCCAAAATACAAACAAAACTTTGCTATATGTTGTAAGTTTTTGTTGTCTCTGGTTCACTGGTTCACTGCTGCTCAGTTTAACAGTAATTCTCCTATTTCTTATTAGCAAAGTTTTCACTAAAAATCACTCAAAAGTGTAAATGAATATGTGATGAAATTTGAAACATTGCGCTTGTATTATAGAGGCATTGGAGTGATTCTAATTGAGCCGCACATCAAATCAAAACAATGACTTGGTGATGAGTTATCAATTTTGCATTAGCAATTTGCATATTTCAGACGTAACTCTGGGAAAAATGAATCCTGAGTATTGAATTTTTTACTCTATATCTTCTCTCATGTTTTGATATATAAACTATGAAACTTTTAAATTTAGTACTACATTATACTTTCATCACAGAGACTTATATTTTGCCAACTCTCTGTCACATTTTATGACAATGATCATTATCACTCTCAGATCGACAGCTGTATTTTTTGTCGCATCTTCACCAATGTCACTTTGATCACTCTCATCGCTTTACCGCTATCATAACAGTGCTCTCATTTCCACCTACATGTCTCTGTTTTGGTCATCATTCTCATGTTAGTCCAAATGTCCTTGCAGCTCAGCCTAAGCCTCCCGACAGAATACGAGAGAAGAAGAATAAAAAATCACCTAATTTTGTGAGACAGTTCTAATATATCCTAACACCCATCAAGCCAGTAGTAATTCTAATTTGATCAATACCTTTAGCAGATGTGCCAGGGCCATTTCTTGCTAGCTTGTCTGTGGTATGTCCTCAGAAGTGCAACTTGGGGGTGAGACAAATTGTGATGGAAATGATCTATGCGAGCGGAAATGAATTGCTGACTAATTTTTGTGTTTCTTCATATTGATTGAGGTGCTATGAAGATTTTTTTTTAAAAACTGAAATTGGGTTTTGGACAGTGATCTTAAAAGGGGCGTTGTGGTGTGCGCCTGTAATCCAGCCAACTATGGAAGTTACAAACTGATCCAGCCGAGGACGCAGGTTCGAAACAGTCACGTCTTTCGGATGGTAAAGTTAAAGGTCGGTCCCCAGACGTAAATAATCAAAGCTGATTGATACACGTCTGTAAAAATCCAATTACACACACCCCCCTTCCTATTATAAAAAGGTTGGAAAGAATAATAAAGAGGAGATAATGTGAAAAAAGGGTGACGTGACCCTCTTCCATACTCACCTCCTCACCCGATGTCCCTGTTCTCTTGAACTTCATCCATCTAGTAAGACTGCTCCCCCCCCCCCCCTTACCCCCACCCGACATCAGTGCCCCTGTAATAGCTGTAGCCACACCACGTCAAGAGTTGTAGATGATGTATACATGTACTCTGAAATTTATGTTATTATGGTATTGTTACAAGGGGAAATGAAAGATGCAGCAAGATGAATTATTAGAGCAAGATGTGTTCCAAATCTTTGGTATAGATATTGAAAATCATAGTATAGATATATTGACTACTTTGAGAGGCATCGCTGTTTCTGTAGGCTCAAGGGGACGTTACATCCCGTATGACCCAATCCGCTTGCACAATGAAACTTTTTACACGTAAACCAATAGGGATCTCACTCTCAGCAAAATTTATTTATGTGGCCCGTTACCCAGGGCAATGGGCATCTTTCTTATAAAGTATTGACCGTTAGGGCGGACATGACTAAAATGAAGACTCCAATTTCAGCCAATCAGATGACTAGATTTATTCAACATACTAAAGAGAGGTATATAATATATGATTAGCATCTTTGTAAAGGAAAAGACCTGGTGAGGTATGTAAGTAGAGTGAAGCAATTGATAGCGTGAATGGTCATTCTAAGAAAAGTAGACTTCATTATGAGAGGTGTACAATGTATGAAATAGACAGCTACATTTTGTAAATGACACATATTAGAACAGTATTCTTCAACATCTACCCATGGGAGCTCTCAGGTAAGATTATGATAGCGATTTTACGGCTTTATTGCCAATTTGGTATGAAAGAAACCAGTGCACACACGATGAGGCTTCTCAAATTGGTCTCATTGAACATTCCTATATCCCTATTGAATAGAATCTGGTCTCTACAAGTATCATTCAGGTATAATAACATTTATGGGATTAGGAGAGTAATTGAAAGCTGTTATGTACTTTGTAGTATTTGGGTGGTATTAGGGATCATTAGGTTATTATGTTATTTAAGGCATGAAGAATAGGATGCAACATTGTAAGGATTCGATCAGAATATTACACATACTTTGCTTCAGATAATGTAGAAGCCTTGAAATCCACTATTTTTCAGTGCAGTTCCTGGAAATTTCAGTTGTCATGATTACAACTGTAAGATATGTGATTTTAAAATAGCAGCTTATATGTTCTAACTTCTACTAAAAGTGAAATAATATTTTTTGTTAAATTTGTATTAATGGTTAAACAATGAGCTACTTTGAATATACTACTATGTAACACTTTTGTGTAAAGATGTGTTTAAATTTGTCATAATGTGCTTGAAAGTCAAGGTGGGTAGTATTGGCAAAAACTTTTTCAATTTGTTGTGTGTTATTATTATTTATTTATTTTAGGGGGGGGATGGTCGGTGGTGCATTTTGTAAATGCACTGGGAGCTGGAAGGGAAGTGCAAAGAGCACCACCACATTAATCTCATAAACTTTATTACAAAATTGCAGTGGTCTTGTTTTTATTGGTTATTTAAAAAACCCAAACTCTGGGAATGGAATTGCCCCTAAAATGTTATTAGTACTTGGGCAACAGGGTAATATAACTGACATTCTGGATGTCTATAGTATAGTCATTTGGCTTAACCACTGGCTAATTCATCTAAAAGCAATAAAACAACTTTGTGATATAGACTTGGGAATTTGCATTGAATCTCAGAAACAATACCAAGTTTATTTTGCTATTCTCTGGCTACCCACTCTGCATCACACAGCACAAATGATTTATAATTTCCGTCTGTTCCACTCACCTGGCCTACTTCTTGCCTGATTTAGTTCTTGTGGTATTTTTGGTGCTCATTGAAAAAGGAGCTCATATCATTTTGAGGGGATGCTTGGAATAGTTTCTTGATTGATTTGTGGGGGTATATATATCCTATACCACATATATGATGGGCTGGCTGGCTGGAGTGTGGATAAGAATGATGTGTGCTCTCTTGGGGATCTAGTCTGTATTGTCTGGCATTGCTACACATTTGGGGAAGCATTTGAGGTTAAAGCTTTCACTTCTTCTGAAAGATTTAACTTTTTCAAACTTATACTATATTTTACCCCAAAAAATATGCTTAGATATAAGGTAGGTCTGTAGAAATGTATGAACGTGCTCAACATGCTTTGATGATAGTTCTTATGATGTCCATTTAATAGAATAATCAGAAGGACCCAGATGACAAAATTCTTTGATTTCTGCAGATTTCTAACTATACATGTCGTTAAACATCAATGATATATCATGGACTTTGTTGTAGATTTTTCTCAATTTCTTGCTTGCAACTTTGTAGAAGCTCCCTCAGCAGTTTTTTTGCAAAACCATTCGATACAAGTACACATATATCTCATTTTCGACTCTAGCAGTGGGCCTTTAAAGTTGTTAATAACTTGTTACAGAGGATTCTCTATCTTGATTTTTTGAGAATACAAGATAATTTATTCCTCCCCTCCGACCTTCCAACCCCTCGGTGATCAGGTACCAACCCCAAAGAAAGACAAGATTTACTTCTACTTGATTCCATCATCATTAAAAGTACTTCAGAATTCCTCATCCCACCTTCTCTTGTTTCCATTTTTCATCTACAATGGAAGTGGTGGTGGAGGCGTGGTGATGACCAGGTCAGATTATTATGCGATTACTAGGCAGGTAGAAGCACATACGTGCAATATTGAACAAATGGGTGTAGGTTTTATACCTTATGTGGCTTTTCTTTTCTATTATTAAAGCTCTTGGTATTCCAGATATATGTATCCAAATAGATTCTTAGCTGTATCATTACAAAATGTGTGTTGTGCTTATTTCTGAAAATCTTTAAAAAATGAAACTTTCACATGTTTTGTGAATTGTCAAGAGTTTCAAAAGTTGATGCATTGAAATGATTGGATGTTTACATTGAATTTTTTTGCAATTTGTGAAAGTTTATCACTGTCGTTATAGTCACTAAAATATATGAAACGTTCTGAATTTGCAGTAGCATTTCTAAGGGATAATACATAATCCCTGAGATCATAAAGACAAAATTTCCCATACCCAAATTTTGTTTTGTCTCTGTAAGAAATGGATACTAAAGTAATGATTTCATGAAATGCTTCCTCCATTTAAAATACCTCACATTGTCGTCCATTTATACCATATCCAAAATGACAGTATCCCAGTTATACCTCTTAGTGGCATTCCATCATGCAAAGTAGTGTATGTTTCATGTAACCACTTACATATCTAGCATACCTGACATGTTCCTTACATGTTATTATGCCTGGGGAATGTATGAGCAATGTAGACATGATTTATGAGATAGATTTTCAACCTGACAACTTTGTTTGTGTCACTGATGTGCATTTTTAGCTGACTGGAATGGAATAGTTTTTCTCCAACTTGGTCTTGTTTATGTTTCAAAATATGTTAATTTTTTTTAACTACGGGTACACGTTTACAGACAAAGAAGGTATGGGGTTGTCTATTTTGTGATGAATTTGTCAATGGGATTTTTTTCTAAGTATTAGGATTAGTTTATCAAAATGTTAACGTAATGTTCCTTTTTCAATAACACTTCTCTTTGATTACTGTGTATGGAAAAAAATGTTGATGAAAGATAGGTACATGGAATATAGTACCAGTATTTGACTTTTAAAGAAATTTTTTATCAATTTTTTTAAGGGGGGGGGGGGATTTATCTAGATGTATACATTGATGTACATTATAATGGAAAAGCTCATGTTTAAAAAGTATATTTCAGTAAATTTCCTTCAAGGATTATTTTTTTTTAAAGATATAAGATATCACAAATGATTTGGTCTTTCAGTAAGAAATCATGTTCAATGTCATGCCAAGAAGATGCTCATGCTCAAAATGTTCATATTTGGACAAAAAAAGTGCATTAGAGGGCCACCCTGCTTGCTAGCAATCCCCTAACATATGTTTTGAGTTGTCCCATTGCACACCAGCATGCAGTATTCTCATGAACACATACCAATACAAGCCCTGACAATCGTTTCAGCAGAGACTGCAAGATTTCAAATCCCCCCCCCCCCCTCCCCCGACCTTTTTTCATTTTTTCCTTCATTATGAGTTGTTCTTGATCACCTTAACATCGGTTTGTGAAAGCCGCAACATTGCGAAATCGTTCTCGTCACCGATAAGCACGGCCATCCCTCCCCTGTTACAAGTTTATTCAATTATCACCCTCATTGGTCAGCTGTCACTAGCAATTCTATATTGGATTGAGCTCAAGTCAGAGTCTGGGACTGGAGTTGCTCTAAAATGAAATACTCTACCTCTTTCTTCATCTCGCATTTCTGTATTTACTTTATGTTTGGTTGATCAAGGACTAAAAGGGCACTAAGTTATAGTTATTATAGTTTGTAAATATGATACTGAATGTATTATTATCTAAGTATTGCCAATTTTGTAAAGCGCTTAGAAACATTGTATTAAGCGTTATAGAAGTACAATGTATTATTATTATTATTATTAAGTTGGTGCACCTTTCACACTTGATTTTTATTTTAATGGCATTATAGGGCAACCATGCAATTATAGGCCTAGCATTTTATTCAGATCTGATATCCTTTTCAACTATTTGATGAAAATGAGACAAAATCCCATTCTGAATGCAAATTATTGCTCGACTTTGGGAGGATTTTCATATTCAATCATATATGATGGGGGGGGGGGGTCTAAGATTGATTACATGTACATGTAGGTGTGTTTAAGAGGGTGTGTATGATGGGGAAGGATTTCTTCCAAGTTTCCCCAGTTTTCTCACTTGTTAGAATTGACTAACATGTCAAAATTATTTGTTGTTCAGTACAAGATTAATGAAGCCAATGTGATTTAGGGAAACCATGTCAAAGTTATTTGCTTTTCCTTTCACAGTGAAGTGAATGAAAATGATAGCTAATAACTGGTAAGAACGTGTAAGTCTCATCATACCATGGTAAATAGCAATTGAAAGAAATCTACAACAGAAGTGATCAGTTATGTGACGCATGTATAACAGAGGAGATGGTACATTTAAGATACAGAAAACATATATTTGTGAGATGGAGTAGAAGCTAGACAGCTATTGGAATATGAAGAAAAAGCATGTTGAAAGGTTGATAGGAAAGAATCGGTGAAGGAGGAAAGGAAGAAAAGAATAAGAAAAAAAGTGAAATAGGAAGGAAAGAAAGGAGAATTAGAATCCAGGGGCACTTTCCCCAAACAAGAGAGAGCAGCGATAGGCTAGGCGATCAGTTTCTCCAATCACTGCTATGACCCATGAAGGTCAGTACACAATAGCATCTCACTCCTTGGAGATGATTAGGTTTCCACTAGGGACACATTACCTTCGTAAGATCTTCCCCTCCAAGTCATAAGTCTGTCTGGTCTCCAAACATGGAGAGAGCAGATTTAAGGGAACCATTTCAATGTGCAAGAGCTTGTCAAAGAAAAGAAGTGTGATTGTTATGTGTGAAGGTGTGACAAAGAAGCCTGTAGATGCTCAATGTTTCATTGCAAGATTATGTGTTATACATGTGAGCTCCTTCATGTCAAAAAGTCAGTATTATCTACTTCTTGTTGTGTAGAAAGTTTAACAGTTTGTTGCTATTCAGATAGTCTTCAAAGTCTTCTCACTCTACTCCCTCTTCCCCATCTGCCCTCCCCCCCCCTCTCTATCTCTTCCCCCTTTCTCTTTAAACACCCTCTAGTATGACTTCACTTTTGATCGCCATTTTGTTAGAATATATACATTTTCCCCAATTATGTACTTTTTTCTCTTTTTTTGCCTTATTGCGGTATGACTTTTCCCATTGCACTGCATGAATTATACCTTTTAAAGACTGTCAACTAAATATTGTAGATATTAGAATATGAGAATATATTGTTTTGTTTTTGCATTTGATTCTCAAAATATCACAATGTATATTTGTTTTCTTTCATCATTTCCTAAAATTATGATCTTTTTTGTTATTGTTAATTCTTTCACAGCTGCAAGGCATTTTTCCGAGAGTAGTCAACAGGCCATCCAAGAGGCTCTCGGGAGACTGGCCAAGCGACAAGCTGCACGTCAGTACTCTTCATCCAGTGTCCAGAACCAGAACCTACTCACCCAGCAGTATGTTGAACAACACTTTGGACTGACCAACCCTCCCCAGGGGCCTGTTCAGGCTACCCCTGTAACTGGGTATGGATCTAACCCAGTCTTGACCAGCACCCTTGGTAGGAGTAGCGCCCGATCACGCTCTAGTAGTGTCGGCCATGTTCGAAGCCCCAGTCAGAACTCTATAACAGCCGTTGCAGTGGATGCACAAGCGGGAAGTACAGTGCCACAGAGAAGCGCAAGTAACAGTCGCGTGAGCAGCGCTGTCCTCAACGAGAAGGGACGCGGTGGAGCGAGTCAGGAGCAAACGGGCCACATACGCCGATCCAGTCACGGCGGTGTTGTCTTAAATAGAACTCACAGCTTCACGACGGATACAAGTTCTAAAGATAGCTCAGAGCTCAATGGACCGACAAATGCCTCAAAAACAACCAGCAGCCACAGTTTGGCCAACGGATTGTCGGACGACGCCTACAGTGCCCAGATCAAAGCCCTGCAAAACCTCACTGTTTCCAATCGGACTCCCTACCCAAATGCAGCCGGTGCGTTACAGCATCAACAGGAAGGGAATAACAGCGTGCCAATAGGGGGCGGTAGACAGATGAGCGGTGGTGCATCTCGGCCGATGAGCCTTCAGGAGCAGCAGCAGATGGCTTATGAGTTGTCCCAACAAAGCAAGGCCAAGCATCAAGAGAAGGTGAGAGCTGAGTCAAGGTTGGGAGTGGGTGATGAATGTTGAAGCGTTGTGGAGGGGGGAGAGAGAGAGAAAAATAGATATCATAACATTAGCATCCTTGCCAGCTTTAACCCAAAGTCTCCTTCGCTCAATTAGAGGACAGAAAATTTTGAGTCATCTAGCGTTGGGACCCAGATGGCATGTTTTTCTACAATTATAGATAATTGTGTTTACCCAAGTAAACACCAGTGTGAAAGTCCTTTGCAAGAGACCCATGTGGGCAGGCTTTGGGTGTATTGAGTGATATTGAATTAAGGTAATAGGAACATATATTAGCTGGTTGTTGATGATTTGTGCCACAATCTCAACTTTTGAAAAGGATTGCAGTAAAAAATAACCCCTCATTTCTGCTTATTAACATTGGTGTAGTTTAACATCTTAAGTAGATAGTCAGAATTTTTTTGATTTTCTCATATTACACAACACCATCAAAAGTACCTATTTCATTTCAAGTAACAAAGGCTCTTAATATGGAGTGGTTATCACTTCTATTTTATGATAAAGACTATGAAAGAACCTTATCCAGTATAGTTTACTACTACTACTTCTACCACTACTAGTGATAAACCAATTGATATACATAAGATGTAGATGGATGCTCAAGTGTTGCAGATCTTGGCACATGTTTAATACATCAAGAGTGCAACTGTGAGCAGATAGATAGTGGAGTATCTGCAGGCTATTTATCAGGTCATTTGCATAGATGCCTCCCCAAGGTCGACTGGTTGCTCAATGGCCTATTAATCATCACCCCTCTGGAGAATGAAGCTGGCCAGATTCATCCCATCCCCTGTAAGAGAGGCCTGGCTGGTTGTGAAACTTATTGATAACAGATTAGGAGCCCTTAGGGGGAGAGATGACTCGCTGGTAGATGACTAGTGAAGCTGGTAGAGAGGAAGGTGGGGGGGGGGGGGGAAGCAAAAGTTACAGTGTCTTCATAATTTGTCTGGTAGAACATGAAATGTGTACACAAACTACCACCAAGAAAGAAGATGGCAACTAATGTTACTTTAGTATAAATCTGAATACATGCAAATGTTTAGCTCGTATCTTTTGTTGCAATAGATTTTTGTGTGTGTTAATTATGCAATAATAAGACACTTATGATAAACATTGTATTTGGTGTTGATAGTGATGATGACGATGATGTTTGTTGTGATAATATGGACTTAATGAAATTATTGTGATAGGATGCTGATGGTACTGGTGGTAGTGATGAAGATAGTGTGACAGTGAAAATGTGTGAATTGTATATACATGCTCTGAGAGCTAAGTAGTTTTGGTCAATTTGGTTACAATATATTCTGTAATCAAATGCAAAGCAAGGACATTTTTTCATGGAGGAATAGAAAGAATGTAATTTGAACCTTAAAAAAGTTCTATCAAACTGAACAAACGAAATGTCAGAGGAGATTCAAATATTGACTTCATGGCTGTAGAGTGAGATGGAACCTGGCCATAATCACAGTGCATCTCTAGGCTTGCATGTACATACTCTGAGAATTTGAAGACAGAATAGGTACCTCAGATCTACATTATGAGAACATCCGTGTACAACATGAACATTACTTGATTAGCTACATCATAACCCAATTTGATTTCTAGGAAACAGACCTGCACAACACATCAAGACATTTCCAAGAAATCTGCTCATCCCATATGGTGTCTGGTATCACATAGCAGAATGATATTAATTATACAGTTCCTGAGACACAGTGTCACTTCTGTGTTGATGCATTTTTAAATGCGATCACTTCAAAAGATGCTCAACTTTTGTACCACATTCAAGATCATGAGATGCATTTCATGTGTTGAGTGAGAGCAAAAGGGGCATTGGCCCATATTCTGTAATAATGTCTTTATGGCTGTCAATAGATGATACGAAGATTGTGGAGATTTAAAGACCTAAGTTATAAGCCAGAAGGGTATTAACTCATATTTAAACAGATTTAAAAGCTCTCTGGCTCTCAATGAACAATATAAAGATTTAAAGACCTTGGCTGACCATCTACTTGTGTGGGTTGAAGACACCTTGTTCCAAGAATGGTTTTCAGCTTATAATCATTCATTGTGGGTGGTATGAACTAGTTCAGCAGAGAACTTGAATTTGCTCGGCCCAAGATTTAATTTAACACCACAGTCTTTTGTCTCCAGTGATATACCCCCAAGAAATTGAAGTTAGAGAATGAGGAACTTCTAAACGATATACTTGTAAGATGTATTTTTTAGTTTTGCAGTGTTGGCACATTTTTATCTTTTATTTTATCTTTTCTACCCCCTTTCCTCCCATTTACTTCTGTAAACCTATCATTGTACTTTATATTTAGACATTCTTGAATAGGTTCATCTAATTGGTAGAGTTGATAAGAACAAATTTTGTGATTACATAATTAAAATTTGTATTTAAAAAATGTTTAACCAGACATGGTATAACACGAATGATAGGAATTGAAAGAAAATGTATCATAATCATTCTTATGTAGGCTCGTTTCAAATAGAAATAGGCATCCTATAATTTTATTAGAATTATCTTCCTTTTTTAAAAACAAAGATGTGGATTACTGTGTACAAAGCAGGGATCACCCTCACATCTTTCATATCTGCACTTCCAAAGTTTATCCTGGATATCGGGAAATTTATTGATCAAGATCGAGGTGTCTGAGGCGACTTTATCAAGAAGTGCAAGAGGATAGGATCAAATTAAAGCCAGTTTTGATTCTCTTGAGTTCACAAGACAGTGCTTTCAAGGAATCCTGACAGTGAATATCTGGGAAAAGACAATTGAATCATCTGAAATGGGGGCACAGAAAGAAAATTTTACTTTTTATGTGGCAAGCTGTAAATGTTCACGTTCGATTGTAATTGGTAACCCTTGTGTTCAGAAATGTATTTTTTATTATTATTGAAAATTGTGTTTGCTGAACAAGATATTTCAAGATTGTATTACCAACTTTCCATTTTTTTTTGTTCTTAAAGGTAGAATATGCCTGAATTATGCATCATCCAACACAAATGAAGGTTAAAGGTAATACAAAGTTTTGGGAAATTTGAAAATTGGGTAGAAAGCGATCCTTTACAATTTTGATATATTTGGATGCCCCTGTAGATGTATTATAAGCACAAGAAAAATTAGCCCCTAAAACACTTCTCCTTTCGAGAAAAATTTACTGGTGCTCCCAGTAAATTTTGATAAATTTCAATTAGTGCCTACAGCCGTACAATGGTAGCTGTGACCATGAAAATCTCAGAATATGTAGTTGTGGTATATAATTTACAAAAGGGAATAGCTAATTGGTCGATTTTAGTCAAGAAAAATTGTTTTATAGCTTAATTAATATCTTGACCTTGAGAGGGAGCTATACAACATAAAAAGTTTATTATTTACAATTTCATTACTTTAGACTCAATTTCAACCGCAACAACTTTTAGACTCAATTTCAATCGCAACAACGAGTCAAATGTATTAGGATCGCATACACTTCTAATATGTTCATTTGAACCAAATTCATGACCCCATCCCAAAACTTTGTATTACCTTTAAATTTAGATGGAAGGATAATTGCTATAGAAATAACCCGTATAGTTATCTGCAAACACAGTTGATTTTTGTATTATTGTTACATTAACATTTGATTGTGCCCCAAATTGTGATTAATTATCTGATATAAAATATCAGTCATGATTAATAGGGACTATTAAACCAGAAAAGAGTAAATATCTATGCTTTCTGTGCACTTTTTACCCTAAATTCAGCCTACCATTTCAGAAAAGTTGTTGGACCCAGTGTATATTGCTTCCTTTAATAGGAGTGCTCTCTGCATGAATTTATAATGAGGTAGAAATTAAATTATACACTGTACCTTCTTACTTTGGAGCCACTTTAATCCTTTTTTTTTCTGTTTGATGTCTTGATAATAAAATCATAGGCAAAAATGAGACTTCACGATTCTGAGAGTATTGGAGCATTATAAAGATAATAATAATAATAATAGTGGGTTCTTGTATAGTGCTCATGTCAGTCAGATTTGACCCTCCTGGCGCTCCCTTTAAAGATCCTTTAGGCATGTTATCTATTGACTGGCTGGGTGTGAAATTGGAAAAGACATTTCAAAAATTAGAGCGGAATCAAAGGTAGTTACAGTTTTGTTTGACAAAAGTAATTTGACCTTTAGCCAGTTTATTATTGCACACTTCCTCTGAGAAATTGATTTAGGGAAGAAAACGGTTTAGAATTTTACTCATGATTTGCGAAATGCCCTCTGGGAGAGGAGGGGGTCAGAATGAAAAGGTCTAAGATTCCATGTAATATACACATATTAAAGGTAAAGTATGGTACAAGCAAATGCCATGAGGTTTACAAGATTCAAATGCTGTACAGCTTGTTACCAGTTACAATCACATGATACACACATGTGAAATGTTGTTAAAATATTCTAGGTAACATATATATAAATAAGAAGATGATTTTGAAGTGGATTGCTTTTTAAACTAGGCAAACAAATTTATGAACGCTGTTATCAATTTCTGCACTATGCTATTTCTAGAGGATCAAGGGCTCACAGAAATCTCAATCAGGCATCCTTTCACAGGTTCACTTACTAAGTTAGAAGAATATGCAGCTTTTGCTGAATAAAAGGCATTACAATCCTGCAGTTTGGGTAAACATTCTTTTTACCGATACTGTGATGAACGTTTCTTGCAAAAATGTTTACATTAAAACTTGCCAGCAATTGCATCATTCTAAATTCATAAAAATATGGTTATTAACAGGTTTAATTTCGCTGCTCAACACATGATACCTTATCATTCTAGCTAGCGGGATGGAATTTTTCAATTTCTCCATTCTTCTCCCAATCGACACCTCTGTAATTGTTCTATTTGCGTTTCTAGTCTTACAGCCAAACTTAACAAACCTTTAGACGGCACATTCTAGAACATTCTGGTATGAGTTACCATGACTTTCCTTTCAAAGATCTGTTTCGTGATGGAATGTTCCTCTGTTACGACTGGCAGATAAAGCATCACATAACAAAATGGGTTTGTTATGAACATTGTTCTGTCTGAAACAGTCATGAATTCCCTTAAGACTTGAACACACCCTGTAATTTTTCTTCTTCAATATTGTATTCAGTATTTTATAAGAGGATTTTCTACTTTACTGCACAATATGATTGACATATGAATCAAATACTGTACCCACTACAAACAGTAGAGCAGTAGAACGCATTTTAAAAGACAGTATAATCATTGAAATTTTGGTAGATTATATGAGATCATCCAGATAACTTAAATTTCTACTTTATTGCTATCGTCATATCA